TCATCCGTTGAAGGATATACTCTTATCTTAAAATCGTAGAATGATGAATCCTTAATGAAGCTAAATAGAAAAGACTGAACCGTAACCCTCACACACCACACCCACACCCTCAGGATAGTTTTCTTCATCAGATGAAACAAATAATGCATCATATGTGTTGATTTTCTATAGCATTAATTTATGTTCAACGCAATCCGATCTTGAAAATAATCATGATCATAAGAAAACATATTTAGGCAAATCTACCCCCATTGAACAAGATAAAATCAACTTTTTTCACATTTCTCTTCTAAAAACAATAGTTAATTGTAAAAAATAAAAAAATCTTGAATGAATTCAACCTAGTCTAAATGCATGAAGAATATTAACACGTTTGATAGTTTATTTTAAAAGATATTGACACATCAGAAAAAGATGAGAAGTTCATGATTGAGAAATCTAAGAAAGTGAATATGATAGTCTGTGTTAATTGGTTGTTGGAAGTTAATCTAATCAATATTGATAGAATTGAAGTATCTCAGTGACCATTCTCATTGTATGTTTTATCCACATATGTTGGGGCTTTGCCATCACGCGATAGTTGGATGCGTCTTGTTGACGTACACATCTAGCCTGTTGGACAACATGCATCATTCAAAGCACGACCACAGCACAATCTACCGATCGAACACAATTTACCGGGACTTAAAAAATTACAATACACACTATAACATTCAAAATGCTACCCTCCATCAACCATGGAAACAGCCGATTCGGTAGCTGTAATACATCCAATAACCGAGATCAGAAGCATGAACAATATAGTTCGGATTTGTATCATGTTCAGTTTTTCTACTTGCTTGAAAATGTATAGTTTATTTAGTATGAAGAATAACGTTGGCTACTTCTTTTCTAGGCAATATCTTATGAAGTGTGACTACACTTCCCTTTCTCTAATGATATTAACACGTTTTAACTTCTTTTAATATTAGTCACATTCAACTGAAATTTGAGGGTCTGTGTATGTGTATGTGATCTTTATAAACTCTTCTAAACATGCGTCCCCACCCACATCCTCAAGATGAAATGTTCGATATTGCATGCTCTAACCAGGACCAGATGTCATTCACAACGACGTCACGGTTTATTTCATTTAAAACCTCGTGACGTGCTCCGTGGTAGACTTTGACAGTCACATTTTTCAGTCCTGCCAACCGGAAGCGCCCGACAAGCGCCTCGACCAACGTTAATTTTTGGTTGAGTGGGTCGAGATCACCAACGGATATGAAGATCGGTAGCTCGTTGTGTATCTGTCTTAGAGCTTCTGGATCGATTATACGCCGAGCACCCAGAAACATTTCTTTGCATGACTCCATATCTAGTGCGACACTGCATAACGGATCTCTGATGTAGGCATCAACCACCGACTCGTCCCAGCTCAGCCAATCAAAGTCGGTTCTTGCTGGGTGGAACGCAGTGTTTAAGGCACTGAGCTCGATCGGTTGATCTAAGTTGAATGCTGGCTCGAGAAGGTCCAACGCAGCGGTTCCAGTTAGTACAACTACACCAATTTCTACACTGTACTGAAGAAGATACTATTGAATTGCGAAGTACTCCATGCTATGTCCTAGGAAAACTAGAGGAATATGTGGAGTCTGTCAACGAATGAGCTCGGCTAGCAGATGTATGTCATTTATAAGCATTGACCAGCCTCCATGTCCCAATCGACCTAACTCAGTTACTGATCTGGCTGTGGCTCCATGCTTGCGATGATCTTGACCATAGACAACTACTCCTTTGGCAATGAGTGCTCTTGCGAACTCGCTATAGCGTAACGCATGTTCGTCCATCCCGTGGGACAACTGGCAGGCTGCGCGTGGTGGTCCGACTGTGTCCCAGCGATACGCGATTATATGGTGGTGCCATCTGTTCCACGATAGCCGAATGTCGCGTCGGGGCTTGTTGACGTCACCGTTGTTGCCATACAACTTGTCTGTGATTATTCTTCGCCGCAGAATACTGATCTAGCTCGTATACAAGGCACAAAATTAGCTCAATCTACAAGAATAAAGCAATGCATTTCATCAGCGTATGCTCATATTTCTATTTTTTCGTTGTTTCGTTATCAATATCCAACACACACATCTTCGGGGGGCATTGTTGTGTTATCATTTGAATTTTACAATGTTTGGCATGTAAAGCAAATAAAGAGCAACTGTTATGCTACTCTCCATCGCACTAACATTAAATATCAACATAAAGCTACGTGTGTTGGATTAATGTGGAATGTGGGTGTTATCGAAGAGAAAAGTAAAACTCACATGTCCACAACATTCATACCCTTTCTATTGATTGCTATCGCTGCTTATACTCCGTAATATGTCCAGGACACAGCATAGATGGACACGGTTCGGTCCAGGTCTTAGCTAAAATTATGAAAACTTAAATTAGTGCATAGACATGAAAAAAGTCAAATGAACAGTAAACAAATATTCTAAGTAGCATACAAGTATTTATATATTTTCTTGCCTTTCTTCATCTAAGAAAAAACGTGCAGTAAAGAAACCAAGGATATATTTCATGTAGAGTCCTGGAAGGATATGAGTTTCGTTATCCTAAGCTACAATTGCTATCATTATCCTAACTCTACGCATTAGAAGACCACTGAAATTCTATTTTATCAAATCCTACAAATTTTTCAAAAGAGAGTTATGTTGCCTCCCATTTATTTTCGTAATTTTTAATTAATAAGCTTCTTAAAAAAAACCAAAATTTGTTTGATTTTTGGTTAATTAGTGTTCAAAAGTATGACTCTTCTAACATGTTTAGAATGGTATTAGTTGATGAAAAAGTAAGCGGTGATGGCCCAGAATGATATTCAGATGCATTATCTATGAATTATTAATGATTTCGATGGGTGCAAAATAATGTGTGGAGCGGTGTTTTCAAGAATTAAAATGCTAGAAGATGACCCAATAAACGGGGTTATAGTTTGTTTAATGAATGCGATGTATAGTGGGATGGTTCTGGATCATTGTAAGCGTTTGTATTGGTGAGTCAGGTGTTGTTGGTTTCGGGTTACAATTTTTCTCAGGGTTGTTGCTGTTGGGGGAAATACTTGTTGTGGATCCGTTTGGGTGGTGCTGGTATGGATTATGTGCGATTATTCATGTGGCGTAGTCGTGCCGGTTTGTGTGCGGTTTTTTGAAGACTACAGTTGATTCATCTTGTGATTGAAGAACGCTTGTATGAGAGATTTTTTATGAGGTCCTTGCCATCGGAATCTGATGGAATCCGGTCAAATATGTGGTTAAGCCCTTGTGAACCCGGCAGGAAACGACCGGATCATTTTCCTTTGAATTCCGGTCCGGATTCCGGGAGCAGAGATTCCGGCGAAATCCCTATCGGTTCTTGGCAGATTTTAGTGGGAAACATGCCGGCTTCTAGAGTGATCCGGTGCCGGTTCCAATGGGTTCCGGCAGGATCCGGAGGCAAGATCGAGTGCCTTAGGTGTAATATGTCAAATAGTGTAACAAAAAGCAACCATTAGAGTCGATAGCTTACTATTTTTCGGCCGAATAAACGATTGATTTTTCTAATATTGATACTCATTGACACCCTTTTCTCAGTTTCAATGCAATATGTGATTAGTGAGTTGGTTAGTTTTTTCTTCTAAATTGCAATAACGCAGCAGTCATTTCCATGTACCATTTTTATTATTTCCCATGATTAAAGAATGATTAGAATAAAAAACGAACTACTCTGTTTGTGGTTCATTGTAAATGATATGTCTGGTATGTTTCATAGCTGCTGATAAACTAAATAAGTTATCTGATTGAAAATCAAATAAGATGCTAGATGGAAATGTATATTACTGATTTCAAAAATTTTGAAATATGGTATCTCTGCAATCTAGAGAATAATAGTTATTACTTCCATTATACTGGCATAACCTAGAAAAATAAATTTGCAAGTAGCCTATTGAGGCGATTTTTAAATTAGAAATATTCCTTTGAGTCTTACTTAACAAACATTTTACATTTGACTGCATCATTGGTTAATATCTGTAAATTTGTGACCAGAATAGCTCGCTGGACGAAGCTCTATATTTAGTTTCCATCGCAATTACTGGTAGGAAACGCAGCCCTAGTGGCATTATTTTTTTCCAGGAAGTTTTCTTCCTTGAGAAAGTTATTACTTAAACATAATGAGAAGACAGCTAGCAATTTATTTCAATGTTATTAAAAAAAGAACGTGACTCCATGATGTTAATAGGGCTTTATAAGTACATTTTTTTATTATGTGGCAAACGAGAACCATACGGATTTTGATTAATGCTGATCATTATTGAAAAATTTATAAAACATTTCTGCAATCATCTTTATAGTACAAGAATATAAATATACTCTAAGTAATAAAAACCTTTCAGAAATGTAATCATATATAATGTATTGCTAGTGATGCATAAAACCTGATTGACATATCTGGCATTTATCTAATAAAATGATAAGATTACAAGAGTTTGTATTTGTCTTGGAACGCTATAGAAAATAAATGCATTCGTATCGACAAATTTTATTGTTATTATCTCAAGCAATATATGTCAGTTCTCATTGATTTATATGCGTAGAGAAATTTATTCTGTATTTTCAATAAAACAAAAAACAGCTTATTCAATTATTTACATAGGATTAATTCGATAGGTTATTTTTCTTCGATCTAAAAATCGATCATATATTATATTTATATTCATATGTCTATAATAACAATTAAAAAAAAAGAAATTAAACGTATATAAATGAATACATTAAGCTGTGAAATTAGAATATTTTCAATAATAATACTCATAAAAAGCAACTACAAATGAACAGAATCTATCAAAGTAGAAAAGAAAGAGGGTACATCATTTTGTCGAACTATCTACGAAGCATAATAGGTAGCCAAATAGAAAAGTCGTTTAAAAAAGAATATTTCCAGCGAAAAAATGCGTGAACATTATCAATCTCTTTATATAAATGTATTTACGTTGGTTGACTGTTGAGTCTTGGCGAAGGTAAATCCCCGAAAACTTCAGTGCCATCTGTACACATTAATGATTGACTTAATTCACGAAATGATTTACCAATACGTTCAAGATCGTTACTATCATTTTCATTCTTGAATCGAAAACAAAATCCAAACATGTAAAAAAGAATGAATACAACCGAGCATAGAAAAACGTTACCTGTTGAGAAATTGCACAGGAACGAAATGCAATCTCTTTTGGTAGTGATGTCGCAAAATTCGGCAAACTATCTTTACCAGAAAACCAATCTAGATAAAAGTGAAATATGGTAGACGAGGAAACTTTTCCTATACAACATACCTGTGTTTTCAAACATAGGATCATCGATTGTGTCCTCATCTAGATTACTAGTACGTTCAGAAAATGCCTGTAGAAGACAAAAACACAATTACTAATAAAACATTTAATAAATTATTATTGTTACGCGTTCGAAGGTTGATGATTGACGACTGAAATCTGCGCCATTAGCATCAAATATATCCGAACCCAAACCTGATTCCATACTGTTAACAATAAATAATTTGTACTTCAACATATAAATCAAGCTTAACTATTAACCTATTTTCATTGATATAAGAACTTGATGTTTGCAATACAGGTGATGTTTTATTACTTGACACCTGTCGAGGTATTGTCCGCATGAAACTATAAATTTATGCAAAAATATTATTTTTTTTCTCTCTATTGAAATCTATCGATTCTCAAGGGAAAATCTACTAGTTACAAATTTTGACAAGGCAATTAACATTGTTGAAACGTATCCTCAGTGACAAAAGTCTGGAAATTTTCAACTCAGCAAGTTCAATTTTTCTATTAATATTTACCGTAAAAAATGATCCAATTCTTTATAAATGACCTTTGTTTTTTTATCCAAAATTTGTTCTTGTTCACGTTGATAGATTCTATAAAATAAAATGAGAAAATTGTTTTTTAAGACAATTTTTTGTATTTTTCTACTGGATTTTTTCTTCTATTTCTCGATCTGCATCCGCTATTGACTGACGATAAATTTGTTGAACTAGTTCACATTCACGTTGACAAGTTTCATCTATATATATATATATATATATATTTATTTATTTCTATACCATTAAAACTAAAGAATTCTAAATTTACCTTGCGAACTTGCCATACGAGGAGAACTATTGACTCTCGGTGGTAGTACAATTTTAGTTATTTGTGAATAATTTGGATCAAGATAAGCTCTCTTAACTGTTTTATCATTCTTAAAAGAAAATCAAAAGATTGTGTTCGCTTTCGTTATGTTCCATTAATAACATACAAGTAGATCTTTATTGATCAATATTCTGTTCATGTTCATATTTGTTAAATGTGTATATTGATTACAACCTAAGCACCGGTTTAGTTTCATATCACGGAGAGATATTGATTGAAATAAATTTTGCCATACAATATGGATTGCTAACTCTGTAGCTATTTTACATTCAAGCCATCCATTTTTTAGATTCACAAATCGCTTTAACTCATTGGCCAAAACATCTAAGAAAAAGAAAGAATTTATGTAAAAATAAAAACAATTGAAATACAAATGCATACTTGTCTGTGTTTCTTGGCTATCATTGATTTCTAGCACATCAATAGTTACATTAAGGCATTGGCAATAGAAATGCATGACTAGATGAAAAGAAGAAAAAAAAGACTCAACGCTCTGACAGTTCTTCTGAAATGAAAATAAAATGAAAAACAAGGCTTTCTTTTATTATTTTTTTCTTCTATTCTCAGCTATCATGTTCTATGACAAACATGCAGTATGTACGAAAAAAGAGTTTGTTCACGGTGTAAAATAAATAATGATTCATTCATGTTTTTTTTGTAGAAGATGTTAATTCAATATATTACTTTAATCGAGAAAAATATATTCACTACAAAAAAAATCGCTGTAGATTCGAGTTCCAGTTCTTTTTTTCTTTTTCTCATATCGGATAAGTGTCGCTTTTATTATTTACAGAATATGATCGGCTCTTTTCCTGCGTCCAATCATGTTAACTTATTTTAAGTACTTATAACAGTGACACTAGTGGCGGTATTCAACGAAAACAAGTATGTCTAACTAGTGCAAAGTAAATTTGATATCGAGGTCTCTATAGTGACTGTTTAATGAATCGTGTAAAATAAAGCACTTTGATATATTAGATACTTCAGAACTGTTTTCGCATTAAACAATATTATTTATGAACCAAGAGAAGAAATACTTTTTCTTATTTTACGACGACAATTCACATTGCTATCAAGGCTTTTAGGTAACAACAGTAAACTCCTATTGATAAATCATTGATCTATTTTTTCTTGTTGTTAATAAATTTCCTTTGACGATTAAAAAAAGAACCGTCATTACACGAATTACAACTTAACCTATGATCAAGCTGCTTACATACAAAATGTGCAATCGGAAAAAACAACATTAAACGGCTGTTACATTTAATTAATATGTTTTGCATATTTTTAGATAATAAAATGCCACTAAAAGTTTACATGACAAATATAACTAGTAACCAATTGATCATTGGTAATCAACGTAAATTAAAACATATTCTTGATACAAATAAAATCGATTATATTGATATTGATATAAGTGATGCAAAAAATTCGAATGAAAAAGAATTTCTACAACGTACATTAGCAAGTTTCAATCAAAAGATGATTTTACCACAGATATTTAACGATGATGAATATTGTTGTGATTTCGATGGTTTAATTCTAGCTGTTGAATCGAACACTCTTAAATTCGTGTTAAAAATCGACCAAGAAAATGGTACACATAGAAATTAATTTACACCATGTCAGATACATTTTTTTTTCTTTTGTAAAACTCGTTTGTGTTTTTTTATTAAATATATGAACGAACTCGTTACATCACATATTATGCACCACCTATCGGATATTAGAACGGTTAATGAAACAATCGGCTGTTGTTGTTGCTGATTTTAGAACAAAATTTGCTTATTGCGTTCTGATTTTTTTTATGTCATATGACCTTGACGAAGATACTTAGACAAATCGTTCTATAATGAAGAAAAGTTATTCTTGCACGCACGAGACTGCCACTTAACGAAAATTATAGTTCTAGAGTGAAGGAAATTTGTTAATGCACTTTTAGTAAAGAATAAAATGAAATATTGAATTTGCAACGTATTATTATTATTTACTCGAGGTAATTAAATACAAATAAATGCTTGAAATTTATAAAATACACGCACATTGTACTATACTTTCCAATATTATTCTAACAGGACAAAATTTTTCCTATGCATTTTACAATCGATTTTATGCTTGTCAAGCATTCATTGAATAAATGAATATAACGGAAATGACGTTTTTTCCTTCGCCTTCATTTGCGATGTGAGAAACAATGAAACCATTTACTGGACGATGCCAACAAAATAATAGAAACAGAATTATTAATAAATATGCATTTTCAATTCTAATACACAATCACATTAACAGTTTCTTATATTTGTTTTAAATCTATATGACAAATCAAAATAGAAGAAACAACATCAAATAAATTGATCAACAAAAAAAATAAGACATACAATCTGTATACATGCACACACACACACACTGTTTTCTTGTTTACAAAACTAGACTAATATAAAATAGAATAGGATATATTGTATTTAATTATTTTCGTTTGTTTCTTTCAGTTTCATATTTTAATCCAAGGCAGTTGTTGCTACCTGAGCGAATAGAAATCAATTCAAAAACTATCAATTCTTTAAAGCTTAGATGTTTCATTGTCATCATCATGACTACGCAAACATCGTGCGGCGCTAAGTCGTGCTGCTGTTCGAGTTTGAACAGGTCTATCGGTATTTTCTCCTTCTTCAAGTTCTGGCGGACCTAATTCACTACGAACGAGATGATCAAGTATGCCAGCGCCAATACCATCACCTAATATATTAACAGATGTACGAATTCGATCTCTGAAATCAAATTTTAAAAAGTGAAAATTTTGATTGTTGCTTTTGTTTCTTCGTTTTACTTACAAAGCCCAATCAATAGCAAATATAATGGTAATTTCTTGTGCAGGAATATTCACAGCTGACATAACTAACAGCATCGTAACAAGACCTGCCGATGGAATTGATGCAGCTCCAACTGAAGCGACCGTTGCCGTTAAACTATCGAAAAATAATATTTATAATTGAAATTTTTCAATAGATTTTCTTTTTTTACCTAACAATAATTAATTGTCCAATACCTAATTGCCGTCCCATAAGTTGAGCAAGAAAAACTGGAGCAACAGCTTCATATAAAGCCGTACCATCTAAATTCATAGGGAATATTTTTAGGATAGATTTCATTGAAATTCTCCTACCCATATTAACCGTTGCCCCAATAGGTAATACAAATCGCGTCACACGTTTATCTAATTTCAATGTTTCTTCCAAACAACGAAATGTGACAGGTAACGATGCAGCACTAATACGATAGATTTTTAAAATTATCGTCTCTTAAAATAAAAATTCGTCCTACCTCGAGCCTGTTCCAATACCAATCAGCCAAGCTTGAAGCATTCCTCGATAGAATGCAAACGGATTTCGACGCGTAATCGCATAGAATATTAATGGTAACGTAAACAATGAATGTATAGCTAAACCCGTTAATACTGTTACTGCATACATTCCTAAACTTTGAGCTAATTTAAGCAAATCTTCTATTTCTAAAATTTTTCCAGCCACTAAAAACATGATACCAATTGGAGAGAACCTAAAATGGAAATTTGTTTTTTTGACGAAGAAATTAATTTATCTATTTGCATACCACATAACAAGTTTAATTAGTTTCATGACAATTTCATTTAGGATAACAAAAAAATGTAACATTGGTTCTCCACGTTGTCCCATTGTTCCAATTGCAATGCCGAATGCACAGCAAAATGTAATCAAACCTATAGATTTCATATTTTCTTTGTATAGAGAATAATTATTTCAAAGAAGCAACTGTTCGAACCCAAGAAGTTGGTACCGGAAACATAACGTGTAGTGAATTTAACTTTAGATACTGCTGTACCATTCAAATTGACCATCTCAGTTTCTATACAAAAATTTAAAAAAAACAGGGGCCATTCACATTTTGAAAAAAACCTCGTGTTGTTTTGACTTGTTCAATGGTTGCTTGAAGAATATTTTCCGCAAACATATTTCTAAAGGAAAATCATTTTCTAATTAGTTTCGAGAATTTTTTTTACCGAAATAAATCAAATATTGCGTCAAGTGTTGTGATTTGGTCAGCTTTTGGTTCGTCTCCTAATAATTCCGAACGGACTTGAGCGTTATTACCTCGTTCACCTGGTCGGATCAATTGTACAAGTATAATACCAAGGGTAGCGGCAAGAACAGTTGTACAAAAGTAATATATTAATGCATAAATACCTAGTTTTCCACTTGATTTCGGGTCAAGTACAGCCAAACCTACACAATAGAATGCTGGGAATTGATTTTAAGTGACTTTTTCTTGGAACTAACCAGTTATAAGACTGGATGTAATAAGAGGTAATATAAGCATTTTGAGCATGCGCATGAGAATGTCACCGGGAAACGATAGTATCATAATCGTTTCGACGGATGGCTTGGATGAACGAAGTAGAAATCCGAGGAGAAAGCCCAAAAATACACCGGCAATAGTCAATGCGAGAAGTAAATTATTACATAAAGGTTCAAGAAAGGTTGAACAACACTAATCGAGAAAGAAGAATAAGAAGAATAGGATTATGAATTTGTTTAAAGAAAAAATAAACTCAATTTACTTTTCGTAATGGCGGTCGATTTTCGTCATGCATCGTTCGTGTCGGATGATTTTCATCATTGAGCATTCCTACTGTTTGATTATGTTTTTCGTCCATTTTCACACTAAGATTAGATTTCATGGTTTAGATATGTGCCGAGACAATTAATTAATTTGTAAATTCGCTTTCTCAGTTACTCAGTAATACTCTAGCTTATTCTTATCGGTGAAGAATTCAATTTCTTATAACGTTCATATTCATTCGCAGATGCCTTTCGCATTTAATAATCGTAAAAAATATACAACAAAGAATGATGTAAGAAAAAAAGAAGAAGAAGTAGTGAAGGCAAAAAAAGACGAAGAAAAAGAGGGCGGGAACACAGGGGGAGAGAGAGAGAACCGTATTTGCATCACTAAAAAGTGGAAGTGGGATTTCTTGTTCTCTCCTTCTCCTCTGCTACATCTTCTTATTGTATGCACTCCGGCAGATAATATTGCTTTTCGTGGATACTTTCACCAATAACTCTTCTGGCATTTCATCCAATAACAAATGCACATCGAAACAATACGGAATTTGATAAATAATAAAAATTCTCCTCAGTTTAACGTAATACAAGCATTTAAACAAGAAATATATATAAATATCATTCAAACTCAATAGAAATACTGCCCATTTTCCTGTGGCCTATGAATATATATATATATATTCAATAAAAGAATAATCAACTCTTGAAACGTTGAACAGGAAATTCCACTTACTGAAAGCTTCTGTTATCTGTTTTGTTTCTCACTGCCTATATTCAGACGAATTAACTGCACTTGAATGATTTCATTGGTTTCAGGTACTTATCACAATAATATTTTAAATTGAAATATATGAATAAGACGAAGTTCTCATTGAATCTTATTGTCGCTTTTATATAAATGCTGCTCACTTGAATATATGGGACACGATTATTTGGCAACATTCATAATAGTCTAGTATTCTTATTTTCTATCGTTTCTTACAATTAGCAATCAATTTTAAATCTAATATGTCTTCAATATCATGGAAATTCTTCTTGTTAAAAGTGAACGTATAAGTTTTTTCTGTCAATGTCGCTTTTTTCTTGTTCTCTTTGTAATGCAAGATCAATGATCCGTCGTGAGAGTAAACGGCTTTTTGAACGTTCGTTTCTAAGTACTTCACTTCTATCGTACATTACAAAAAATAGGAAATACGTTGATATTAACTAGACGAAAAAAAAAAGATGAAGGCTAAAAATCAACAACATACGGAACAAATAACATTCATCTGAAATTTCATCTAGCATATGAAATCATTATTAATTTAACAATAAATTTCCTACTCTCTCTGTATTCATTTGACAACGGATTAGATGGAATCTTTTCTAATCCAAGTGTAAGAAAATATTTTCTGCCATTCGATATTTCTTAAAATCGACAATAGAATAAAATATTCGCAAGATTTTACCTCATTTGTTGATTATTGCGTTTATTCATTTGGTTTTTATTCTATGCCACAAGATATTTAATTAGTTCTTAATGCCCTAGAAAATACAGGCGCAAATTAATAATTACATCCAACACACATGCACGTGAATAGCAAAGACATTGTGGTGTTTTTCGCATATGAAACGCGACATCACTTTCTTAAGAGTTTAATAATGATCATAACTCACACAATGAAAATTGACGCTCAATGAAAATGGTGACGTTAGAACTGCTTAAAAGATTGTGCCAATAGTCATTGACGTAGTACTATTGTTAATGCTTTTTTCCTCGCTAATACTAAGAAAACTAACACTCTGATGACCAGAAGGAGAAAAACGCATACTTACTGCTAAATCGCTTTACGTGAGTATGTGGAAGATGCTCAAGATTGTCTATCGTGTCCAATGAATGAGAATAAAAAAACGCGGCAGAGAGCAGATCCGTAAATAAAACGAACATAGTTGTCAACATGTGTTCATTCCTCAATATGATTTATTGAATAAATAGATTAAAATACAATATGAATTTTCTCTTTGTTTTTTCTCCTGCTCATCTAATTTATTTTATATCGTTTTCGTTTAATATCTATTTCAAATAAAATTAATATTCATGCATGTCAAAATAGAAAGATGCGTGCAGACTCCTACTTGATAAACATAGAACTTTATTGTCAATAGAAGAAACGAAAATAAATAAATAAATCGTAACCTTGATAAAATATGAATGCTGGAATAATCGATCAACACTCGCACATATATTCTATTCGGCATGCTATTTTATTTAAGAATAAAAAACGATAGCATTTAACACATTGCTGCTTCATATAAATTAGTTTTTATGTTGGAGATAATAAAAACAGATAGCGGAAAAAAGCCCGAGTTTTATATTAAAGGACTAAATATATTCTTAGATGAAATTTGTCTGGCGTCTTCACGCTCGTTTTTCCTTATAAAAGATGACATGATAAAAAAGAAAACACAACATAAGTTAATTAATGCCAGAGCCGATCAATGTCTATTATTCATAATGCGAATTCTTTTTTGTTGTTGTACTCGCTGTCGATGCATACGTATGTGTTCGTAATAAAACTAATTGTTTTTTTGCTTCTTTCTTTCGACTTCAAAGATTTCCTAAATCAAGTGTTCGATTGGATTTAATTTAAAAGCAATGGATGCTCATCAGAATAGGAAAACGCGTGATTAAAGACAGTTTCACTTGATTTTCTGAACGAAGGTCGTATATCTACGAGTACCAGTAGCAACAACATCAGAAAAAAATAAGGATAGAACTAGATTGTTGATGGCATTTCATCCTTGATTCCATAGGAAAGATTTCAGCAATAAATCAGCACATTATCTTCTATAATCCTTTTTCACTTCCGTCGTAGATTATACAAAGAAATAATATACGTATTATATAAATTCAGCAATTCTGTTTGTGACGCATTTTAAAAAAACTTATCCACTTGTCGGCACTTGCCATTTTAAGTCCTTGAAGTGGCCTGGTGCGGATGTCACGATGATAATAGGATAAAATCCAGTAGTCATCTTGTTTACGGCGCACACTTAGCTATTCGAAAATCGTAAACATTCAAAATAGAAGTACGGTCAATTCCTTGTGTTAACTTCGTTTGTTTCAGGCTAATGGTTATTCATCGGAAGTAATTTAATTTTTTTCAGCCGGCTATTTTTTATACTTAATCAAGTGTTGTTTTTGAAAATAATTTGATAATTGATTTAGTAAAAAAATAAGCCTATTATATGCATGTCGTTGATATTGAATGTAATCGTTTTTGTTTTCGCTAACATTTGACGTTGTTGTCCAATAGAATATGGATTTTATCGCAGCAAAACGACAACAAGACACCTCGATATATTTTAATTACATCTATGCATCTATTATTGATCGACTAAATGATCAAAATTGTTTTTTTTTCGTTAACGTACACGTCATTCATCATTCCTCAAGACATGTTCTAAATCAAGATTCTAACATTTGTCAGCTTTATAGTTCAGTTGTTGAAATCGCATACATCATCTTTGTACTGTCATCCTTGAAATTAACTTTGCTACATCAATTTACTAGTGATGTTTAATACCATTAAACAACTCGCATGAGCGCAGTGACCTGTTTTATGTATAGACTTGAAATACCTGTCACACATAGACAAGTTGAATGGTCTGGTCACGTCTTCTAGATTATCAATTCCTCTTAAATTACATGTACTTCGAGACAACTTGAATAGAGAGTAGGATGAAATTACTAATAGGTGACGGCTATATAGCAACGATCTTTCGTTTTTTTTTCTTTATGTGTTAGATAGTTCATCTTTTATAAAATAAATAATAACACCCATAGCCATGTTTAATTTATAATCCATCAATCATCTAAATGTGTATAATTTGAACAATAGATATTTCTTCACATTAAACTAGTTTATCGTTGATTTAAAACTAAAATGAGCTTCATTCTTACGTGCAACTTAATATGAATAAAAAGAAAAAGAAATTTCTCAGCGATTATGCAAGATTTATTTTTGTTCAACTTCAATTTTATACTCTAAAATTGCATTGCTAGGACTTTTTCATATCATATTTTACTAATTAAATCTGTTATGTATGAAAAGAAGTTTCGCAAGATTTGATTTCTTTTATTGTTGATGAAAAAAAAAACAGGGAAAGTTAATACATAAAATAACACACGAATAATTATGTTCAACAATAATTCGAAGAACATTTTAGTTTGTGTTCGATAATCCGAAGTCTAAATTATTTGATGTTTTTGCTTTATCAACGACAATTATGAGCCAGAAAAAGGAAGAGTGTATACCCGGTGACTGTATAAATATCAAAGTGACCGGCTATGCAATCTTCCTACAATATGATTAGAAAAATTCCCGGCTCGGATTAAATCGACGATAAATGAACATATCAGAGGAAGAGTGTTATACCCGGTGATTTATACATTATTCTAAATCAAATTGACCGGCTATACAACCTTCCAACGAAAGAACAATGATTGTATGATAATAATAATAATAATATTAATAATAATCATAATCATAATCATAATCATAATAATCATAATCATAGATATTAATTAATTCATCAAAAATAAATAATATCATAATCGCTCAAGCTAAGTGTAGAACCCGGTGAGGAATTTCATTATAACAAACCTCAACCGTAGTTTCACCTAGCCTAAGCAAACTATGAATGATCGGTGTGACAAAACAAAACAAAAATAAATTCAAGTGATAGTGCTCTCAATTAGGATGAGTGTGAGATCTAGTCATGAACTTGCAAAATCCACATAGACTAAATAACACAATCATGCGAATCAAAGAGCTCTTCTCCGTCCACCAAAGAAAAACGTGCACAATGCAGCATGCGTATTGTATTGAAACAAAAAAGTTTGACAGAGAACGATAGAGAGAGAGAGAGAGAGAGCTCACCATGCAATCTAAAAAAATGTGGATTTTCCTGAACTTTTTTCCTGACGTCATGATGACAAAAAATGTAGACAAAGAAGGACGAACTTTCGGCGGCAGTGGACGACAATAACCGTTAAGAACAACGATGCGAATGAACGAACGGACGGACTGGACCTATGCTTGACCCTTTGTACATTCTTTTGTGTGTGTTCTCTCTATGCACGCGCATATACGCATGTAAATCGTCGTTGTCGAAAAAAAGAGAGAGAGAAAAAACGTAGACTTGTGCACGCGTCCGACCGTTGTTAGCTGCTGTCTAATATGAACGACATGTTCAGATATGTACATTTCTCTTTTCTCCCGTTTTTTGACCGAACATTGACCTGTTTCTCTTTCTTTTCTATGTACCATTTTTACTTAGGGCTCGAATGCTGTATGCTTATTCAAATACTGATGTGCGGGCGCTCGCGCGTCTCTATGATTCGCTCATAACATCGTCCCGTTCAATCAACATCGATAAAATTTTCTTCTTCTTCTTCTTCTTCGTCTTTCTATATACCCGGCCAGACATATTGACCTTAAAGAAGAGCGGGCAACTGAAAAGAAAAGAAAAAATGGTTGGCTCGGACACGGTATGTATCATGTGTCTGAGCAACATACACTCTACTGGCTTAAAGCCAAATAAGTATGCATCTGGGTGAGTCCACTCACCATTATCAACACAGAAGCCATTTGTGGTGAAATGAAAGCAAAACAAACGTCCATCGGTCGTCTATGATGTTCGAGAGTGAAGTAATTGGCCCAATCTCACGATAAGAAATAACATACCCGAAGACTGACCGCCGATAATAATAGGCTTCATGTATCTTTCGTTCATTCTCATTTGAATTGTGTCCAAACGAATTCACTCCTCCGGCTAACTCCTCTTACGGTGGACAAATGAAAACTATAAAGAAAGATTAGACATATTGTGTTTATTTGACAATAGTAGACTCAAGTTTTTTGGGGGCGAAGGATAGATACTCGGAATTTCCTGATTTTTTGCTTTTCTTTTTCTTCTTTTTCTTCTTCCTCTTCTAAATGTGTTGTTTTGATCAAAAACGATGAGTTCAATTGGCACTAATCAATCATTTGTTTTTTAGACGTTTCATGTCAACATATTGTGTGAATCATTAACAGTGATGATTTCTTGCATTGAAAAGAAAACAAACATAGTTGTTGTAAATCATTAAAAAAAATTCAAAATAGTTTAATCGTGTAAGAAAAAAAAATGAAAGGAATTTTTTTTGAAAAAAAGAGAAGATATAGAACAGTTATTTCATATTATTCTGTTGCTGTAAGGCTGATTTGGTCCATAGCAGACGAAAGTATATTCGAAACCATGGCAGTAGCTTGAACACGAAGATGTTCAAGAACTGTTGGATTATTTTCTTCATCTTCCTCTCCATCATCATCATCATTTTTCTCAACATATTCTTCCTGTGCCTGTGCTTGTTCGTCTTCATCATCATGATTATTATTATTGTTATTTTTATCATCATCATCATCATGTTCATCGTCATCGTTCTCTTCTTCATCACCATCAATAGATTCATGAGGAACCGCATGTTGCTTTTGTAGTGATTCATAACGTTGATCATTATCCTCAGTGGTTACTAATTCATATTCATCCTCTTGTTGTTTATTTGTTGCGGTCGTGATTGGTGGATTGGATTCATTGACCAATGAAAATGAAACTTTATTTGCAACATAGGAAACACTACTTTGTTGTGCTGGCGATTGTTGCTGTTGATGTTGAGATTGACGACGATGACGATTACTACGATGTGTCGATGAAGATGAGATTGCTCGATCAAGAGAACGGCGACCTATGAAGAATCAGTTTTTCTGTTGAACATTTCTTTTTTTCAAAATCAAACCTCGTTTCCGTTCGGGCATTTGACTTCCAACATCAACATATCGTTCGGGATCTTAAGGAATAAAATTTAAAAAAAAATGCCTATTTTTATCAGATCATTATTTTACCTTTAATTTTTGGCAATTTAGTTCGTTTTCCATATGCTGTTGGTTTTAAACTTGATTGCCGACTTGAACTTCTTTCAAATCGATTTGTTAAATCTTCTAAATCTTCTTCAACTTTTTTGTCATCACTTAGATCATAGCCAAGATCTTTTCGTGATGTTTCACCAGCAGTTGAACTCGCACGATGTTGTGCTTGAAGAATTTCACGGAATTTTTTAAAGTGTGATGCTTTTATATCGACTTGTTCAGGATTATTTCGATTAACAAATGTTCCATATTTCAGTAAAATTTTCGAATCGACTGTATCGAACCGATTGTAACGAGCACCCGTTAAAAAATAATGGCTATTGTGGCCGTCATTGGTTTGAAAATCAAATTTCTTCCGAATACGATGTAATCGTTGTTCTTGCTGTTCAACACAACGTCGATAACGTTGTTTTTCAATATTTGTCGAGTTCGGCTCATAGACACGATTTAAATGGTCGAAATTCGGATTCATTTTAATATATCGATTTAAGATACTATAGAGAAATAAAAATAAAACTCGATATTCTAGAGGAGACTTGGAAGTTCTTATAACTTTTACTATAATTGAAGAAGCATTACGTCGGAAAACTAAGGTTGGATAAATTAAAAGCTTCAGAAAACTTTTCTCCCCCGTCGTCAGTGTCTACACAATCTTTTATCTGAATAGCATGAAAAGAGTTTTTCTCCTACTTACACTTCTGAAAGGATCTTATTTAAAAATGACATGCCAACTATGAAAGTAGAAATTATTTACGTCAAAGTCTTGTTTTTCTTCTTCTTCTTCATAGAATCATTATGTTTAATGCGTTCGGGTAGCGTTTTTGCATAATCATGTTCCTACATCAGAACTTCTCTATCGTTTGTTAACTCATAAGGTTAATAGTTGAACTCAAAAAACAGAATGAATGCTTTTCACTTACAACAAGAGAAAGTTTTACTCTAAGGAAATTGTTTTTAGTTGGTTACGTCGGATATTACTTTGAAATTTATTGACGCACAAGCTGAAAAATTATGAATAAAAGAAAAAAATACCTAAACAACCATTACGAGATAAAGTGCCTATTCATAAGTTAATAAAAATAGTTTGTAGAAAGATCCACAAGAAAATATGAGTTCGTTGCCTTTTGAGAATACATACTCGGTTCGACGAGGTAATCGAAAGGTTTCTGTTTCGTACAGATTGTCATTTCGAAACTTCAATTCTGTATCCGATAGATATTGAAGAAGAGGGTTTGTATGTGTCGGTTGTTTTTCTTGATGTTTATAATATGTCTCATAATTAAAATGTGGTGCCGGTGATATGCTGTGCTGTTCTTTATTAGTGTAATTCTGAACAGAGTGAGCCTAAAGCGAATATTTGAATAAAAGAAATTTCCTAATTTCTATTCATGTTCTGCGTTTACCTTCTGCACAGTCGACATAGTTGACTTCTATCTCAAAATGTCTGTTGTTTTTTTTTTCACAATAAATAATGTATATTTGTCTAGTAAATACTTCCATTTCTATCCACTGTTGTCTCGGTAACAGCCTCTTTGATTTTTTTTCATTGTCCTTCCTTCATTTTCGCTATGTATTTAATACCCAATCTCTTATAAAACAAAAAAAAAACGCACACACTTTGAAAAAAACATAACTGAATAAATCAAAAGAAAAATAATATGATTTTTTTTAAAATAATCAACAAAATCTTGATTTTTCTTTCGTACAATAACAACTGATGTTCAATCTGACGTCGTTGAACTAGGTTGTTGAATTTTGGTGTTTCCTTTTTTTACTAATGTCGACGTCGTTTACCACCATCGAGTAGATCGCATCCATTCATTTCCTTCAAATAGAAAAAGAAAACGGCAAACTGATATTTTGACCTTATTTAAAAATATTTACAAAACAGCATGATTTATTATTAATATTATTATTGTTATTGGAAATAGGATAAAATGTTGTTTCTTTGTCACTATCGTCATCTTTGTCGTCATCGTCGTCGTCGTCGTCATCATCATCTGATATTCTCGTTGAATAGAATACATCAGGTTCACTATCTGAGTCTTCCGATGATGTCTAAATAGTAGTAATGAGCAATTTATTTTCACTTCTAAATACAAACATCGCTTAGTTGACGCTTGAATGCACCCAGTAGAGGAAATCGATTAATTGAACTAGATACTATTTGAGATCGTTGATCAGATGATTCATTATTATTGTTATTATTATTATTAGTTGATACTATATTATTCAGATTATTTCCTACATCCATAATATAGAAATAAATAAAAGGAAACAACGAATGGGATGTTACCTGCAGTTGCAGTCGTTGGTGATGATGAATTTATGAGATGTTGTTCTTGTTCTTGTTGTTGAGCGCCTTGTATTGCAAGAAGAATATTTCGTTCGTCTTCGTCGTCGTCATCATCCGAACTTGCTGTGGATGATGCTGATGAAGAAGAGGAGGATGATGATGAAGAAGAAGAATCACTGCTGCTGTTGTTGCTGCTGCTGCTGCTGCTGCTGCTACTACTACTACTACTACTACTGACAGGTAAAAATAAGGAGGATGACTGTGCTGGTGTATGTAGCTCTGGATTTTGTGGCATAGATGATGAACTAGCAGCGATAAGTGAATTGGCTGAATTCGAATTTTCACTCCACATATTCGAAGATGATGATGATAAAAAGGATGGTCGTTGTTTATGTCTGATTAAATATTGTGCTAATCGCCAGTCATTTTCCGCTAAAGAAAAGTAAATATTGTTGTTGTTTTTTTATTCTTAATAAAATCATTTTATCGAATATTTACATGATAGCATAGCCCCGAAAAGTTCGTCAACCGTGGCTGGCAACGTATTTTCCGATGGTAGGAGTGCTTTAAGTAATTGCAATGCACGTTTAACTGTTCGTGGTCTCATATTAGCACGCAAGACAACATCAGCTATTTCACGTACAGCTTGTTTTCGTGTTATTTTCGATTCGGCGTACAAGAGAACATCGGCAATATTCTGAATATTAGAATAACAAGAGTAGGCATTTGAGAAATCAACATGCAAACTTACTTGGTTATCATTATTAGACGAATTATTGTCTATTTGTGACGATGAAATCGGGTCCGATGACATGATTATCGATGATTGAAAAAAACAAATCTACAATGTTCTATAATAAAAACAAAACGCACGAGTAATGTTATCAATGCCTAGACAAAGGAAACCTATTAGATCTATCTGAGTTTAATAAGCGACATTCATCTCATTGGAAGAATATCACAATAGCCGTGACGATTCTATTTTATCAAGAAATATTAATACTAGAAATTAAAAAGAATCTAATAGTACGACATAGGAAATGTCCGAAAAATCACGCATGTTTTTCTTTTCTTTTTATGTTGTTGTTTATATCAAGAACAATGAACAGCACATACATGTACGAACAAAGAATTAGGCTTTCGCAGACGAAAGTCAAGAATAAAAAAACGAACACAAACAAGATTTAAGAACAAAGAACGACTCATTTTTCGACCTCATTTTCATTACTATTATTTGTTTCTTTGATTATCGATGATTTAAACGGATTTTCATAAACAATATTTTTTGGTGTGGGTGCAAGCGATGGCATATCGTCCGGCGCACGCCTATAATTATCAATAAAATATTCAAAAGAAGAAAGCAAACAATCATTTTCTTACCATTTACTATTTACCCATTTGTAATTACGAGCAACTGGCAATGGCATACGAGAATGTGAATACATGCAATTTGGACGCATACATTGTGTACCAAATTTGCATACCTAAAATTTATAAACATATATATATATGATTGTCTTGTCAATCAGATATGAAGGTAAGCGTCACTATCGAAATAACCTTCAGTAGTTTTTTTTCTTTTTATTGGATACGAATGACTAATGAGTAGGGTGTGAAAATCGAAGTACTCCTATTTACAATTTCAAATAGAAACTTACAACTGAGCTGTCCGGTCGATTTGTGATCGGTGGTCGTGTAACAGCACTAGTGTTATTCGCTGATGAAGGCGATGATGCGGGTGTTGCTTGTGAATGCAAATAGGGACAATTCGATTTTCCACATGCACTACCGTAACGGCAAGGCGGATGAATATATAAACATTCCGAACCGTAGGCACAATTTGGAAAATGTCTGAAAATTTAGAAATAAAATTCAAATATTTCCTATTGAAATGCAACCTTTAACTTACGTGCAACGTTGTGTTGGATGAACGAATTCGCATTGATCGCCATTGTTACAGTCAGGCCAAAAACGACAACGTTTCGATTTCTTTCCCGATGCCGATAATTGAGTCGTTTGTGGCGAAAAATCTTGTTGATCGTTATCATCTGACATCATATCATCGCTTAACTTACGTTTGAACGGTCCGTTTCCTCGTCCGTCTTCGTATTCGTTTGAATTTATATTTGCTCCATTGTCATTATAAGGATAATCGTTTAACATCCAAATATTACTTATATCATCACCAGTTTCAAAATCATTATTTACAACAACAACAAACTAAAACAACAAAATTAATTTTTATTAGTAAATAAGTTTTAACGTTTCTGAAAAAAAATACTTCATCTTCTTCATCATCTTCGAATTCCATCGGTGATTTTTCCGGTTCATTATTTGATTTCTCGTCGTCGGCTGTTGAACAATATTCATTACGTATGCGAACTTTCATTTTACCTAATGATGGTTCAGATTTATTTACTAAACTTGTTGGATCGATCCATGTTGGTTCTTTAGCTTTCAAACGTTTTGCTAATGTTCGTGTTGTCAAACATTCTGTTGTTCCATCGGGTTTCATAACTTTAACAATTCCGTTTGTTTTATTTAATTTCATTAAAACACTTTTATTCGCATCGGAAACAGCTTGTAAAAGTAATTTTTTTGATGGTTCATTTTCTCGTGGCTTCCGTTCGTTCACTTGAATTTCGCTTGATAGTTCGTGCTCTTGATCATCATTCTCATATTCATTATTATTATGTAATATTGTTCCGATTTGAGAATAAAGTGTACGTTGTTTTTTCTGTGTTGGTTCACTCTCTGTAAGACAACGACCACTTTTTAATACGCGATTGACTGTTGAACTGATTTCAAGTTTACGGCCACTAGCCAATACTCTATAAGATCCTTCATTTGCCATTGTTAGGAAAAAAATCTAAAAAAGAAAATCAAACATTGGGACTATATCATGTAAGGGATTATCAGGTAGAAAAGGTAAGCACAAAAAGCAAATAACAGAACTATGTTTGACTACGAAGTGCATCAGATATGGCCGTTGTAGCTGATGTTGTTGTTGGTTGACTAGTTGAAGATTTATCTTTACTTCCGTACAGATTCGGATATTTCGCAAAGCATTGTGTTAATGCAGAAAATTCGGTAAAACATTCAGAACCTTTAGAATTGACATCACTATTATGGAAACAGGTAAAGGCTCGACGAAAAACAAGACCACATGGGCCTGACGCCATACCACCGAGGCATGGGCAATTCCAATTGATTGAACCATTTGGTAGTACTAAACCTGAAGACAAAAATAAAATAAAATATTCTCCTTAGAATAAATCTAGTTGAAACAAAAAAGTATGTTTTTCATCGAAATTAACATACCATGTTGTTCCCAAGGATCAAATTGTTCATCATCTTTTAGTTTAATTGCAGATGGAGAACTTAAATCATTGCTAGTTAAAAACATAACTTTATCTTTTCCATTTTCTAAATAATGAAAAAATTATATTTATTCTTATCATTTAATTAATCATACCTGGTTTTACACAAAATGACATTTTTTAATACTAAACCACGGCGTACTGATTCGAACGATTTGTTTCTTTAAATGACAGACAGTTGGTAAAATACAAATTCTACTTAATTAAGAATGGTTGAAATATGTACCAATAGAAAATTAGTATGTGACCTCGTTAAAAATAAACCAATCGTTGAGCGAGTTTATCGTTGTGGAAAACAAGAAGAATACTAATCAAGCAACTGTTTCGATTGTTGTTTAAGAAAGAGAAAAAATATGTTCTTTGTCTTGTTTTATTTATATTTATTTTTTCAATAATGCAACAATCAATTAGACATCGTTAAGGATGCTTTTTCTTCTCTTGTAGAACAGTTCAACGAATGTGCTCTCTGTCTCTTTCTTTTGTTTCATTAGTTGTCTTAGAAGGAAAAAGAAAGATAAGAGATTACGTAGTTATGGCCGAACAAAAGGAAGAGAGAGACAGACGCAGACAGACAGAGAGAAATCTTCAAAATATGTATGTATGATCTATCATTCATAGCGGCAAGTTACTTTTGCGTTCTTTATTCATCGATCTTACTCTTTTAATGATGTTGCATGTGTGTGTGCGTATGTATGTGTATTCTAGGAAACCTCGTAAGAAAATAGAAGGGGAGAGGGAGCAACGCGACGAGTGAAGGAAAAGATTATAACACGAGCAAATAGTGAGCCACATAGGCATACGAGTCTATCGTAGTCATACGAACAAGAGAATGCTTTGTCTTTTCGTTGACACGTCATACTAGTCTAAGTATAGACGCAAGTCGGACACATGTCAGTATTATAAATCATTGTAGTTTTTACTTCTCTAAAGAAATCTGTTGTCTTCTTTGTGGGCTCGGTTTTCAGTTACTTTCGTTCATCAATCACAAAATATATTCGATATCATAAGAGAAGGACACAGCATTCTATCGTAATGAGCACTATCATGCCTATCGATCGTAAGATGAGACATGCTATTTTGTATCTGTGTAGAGTTTCTTTCTCTTGTTTTTTTTGGTTTTTCTTTTCCGAGGACCAAAAAGAAAAGTAACTCAATGACATTGAGAAAACCAACGAAACATAAGGATATCACTTGTGCGTACTTTCCGTACTAGAATAGAGATTGACGGAAGAGATATAGACCAAGGAGAAGAAAAAGAAAAGACAACTATCAACTACTGTATGTTTGTTACCGGTCAATCAAATTAGCTTTGTATATGAAAGAAAAATACATTTTTCTTTTTATTTGTCTATTTGAACTGATTACTATGTAGACGCCCCTAGCACTTGTTTTGAAAGAGCTTAGAGCTCTTTTTAGTTCTTCGAGGAGAAGAGAAAAAAAGAGAAATATATCGCTATATTGACCATCTATGAATGCGCTCGACTAAGCAAGACAATTAACACGTGTCAATGTACTATTCTACTAGCACTATATATATCTATAAGATATGGTTTGCACGTGCGTGAATGTTTACCCTACTTCTTTTATAACCTATCTTTCATTTTTTTCTTCTCCTATTTTCTTGTTCTGTTTGCAAGTAGTTTCAATAATTGTCTAGGTTTTTTTTTTTATATTATAAAATCTGCACGTAGGCAAAAAAGAAAAAAGTATATCGAATGATTCATACAAACACACTTATATAAAAAAAGCCGAACGTGAGTAAATTTTCTTTTTCAGATGCACTGTTATATGAATATCAACATTGACGAATAATAACCGTAAAATAGAAAAATAAAGATGAGTGCTTACGTTTATGAATCAAATGGACAAAATGGGATGCCATCAAAACAGCGAGCTGCAAACGGTGGACATTCACAACGAAATTCAGTTGATGATTATATGATGCCAGAAGAAGAATGGGAACGTGAAGCTGTGCTCGATCCAGCATGGGAACGGCAACAAAAAAAAGTTAGTCAGATTATTTGTTCATAGAAAACAATATATATTTTTTGTATTTTTACAATAGACATTTACTGCTTGGTGTAATTCGCATTTACGTAAAGTTGGCACATCAATTGAAAATATTGAAGAAGACTTTCAAAATGGTCTGAAATTAATGCTTCTACTTGAAGTTATATCTAATGAACAACTTCCTAAGCCTGATCGTGGCCGAATGAGGTTTATTGAAGAAATGGATTTTTCTTTTAAACTCCACTTTTATATATTTAGATTTCATAAAATAGCAAATGTAAATAAAGCATTGGATTTCATTACAAGTAAAGGTGTTAAATTAATGGTTGGCGCTGAAGGTATGAAAATTCGAACGCACGATTGAAATTTATTTTCTAATATTAATAATTTAGAAATCGTCGATGGCAATTTAAAAATGACATTGGGAATGATATGGACGATTATTTTACGTTTTGCTATTCAAGACATTTCAGTCGAAGGTAAACTTTAAATAGACTTAATAGATTTCCTACATGTAGGATATTATTTTATTATAGAAATGTCTGCAAAAGAAGGTTTATTGTTATGGTGTCAACGTAAAACATCACCATATAAAAATGTTAATGTACAAAATTTTCATACCAGGTTAGATCGAGTATAATGTTGCCTTGTCTTTTTCATGAATACGTTTTTTTTTTGTAGTTTCAAAGATGGCCTTGCTTTTTGTGCACTTATTCATCGCCATCGTCCTGATTTATTGGACTATAGCAAATTGACTAAAGTAAATTGATTGAATTTTTTTGTTTCTTGAAACACAAATGTTCTTTGATTAGGATGATCCTTTGTCTAATTTAAATCTTGCTTTTGACATCGCTGAAAAACATTTGGATATACCGAAAATGCTTGATGCTGAAGGTGAGTAATTCGAAAATCAATTTTTCGTCTTGAAACAAATCCTAAGAAACTAAAATAGATATGGTCGAAACTATAAGACCCGATGAAAAGTCAGTTATGACATATGTCAGCGCTTACTATCATGCCTTTGCTGGCGTTTTTCAGGTGTTGTAAAACAAAGCTTGTTTGTATGCTGTGAGCATGGATTGGTTTTTTTTTCTGTATTCATCTTCGGTTATTTCTTTAAAATGATTTCCTGCATGATTTTGTGTGTTGTGTATTTAGAAATCAATAACAGCATTAAATCGGATGAAAAAGTTGTTATGACATATGTATCATCATATTATCATGCTTTTTCTACAACACAAAAGGTAATTTGGATGAAATGTAGATTTTTGTTCTTGAGCCATGAGACAAAACTTTTCTTAATTAATTTTCTTTTTATTAGGCTGAACAAGCAGCTAGTCGTATATGTAAAGTATTGACTATAAATCAAGAAAATGAACAAATGATGGAGGAATACGAACGATTAGCATCGGATTTACTCGAATGGATTAAACAAAAACGTCCTTGGTTAGAGAATCGTGCTACAGACAATACACTCGATGGTACACAAGCGAAATTAGGCGAATTTCGAGATTATTGTCGTTCGCAAAAACCACCAAAATTATCACAAAAAGCAAAACTTGAAACCGATTTTAATACACTTCAAACACGTCTTCGTTTATCGAATCGACCAGCTTTTACACCTAATGAAGGCAAATTACTTGCTGTAAGATCGTCATTTCATAGTAAAAAGAATTCATTTTCTTTTTTTTTTGTCCTATTTAGGATATTGTCGATGCTTGGAAAGGTCTTGAATTAGCTGAAAAAGGTTTCGAAGATTGGCTATTGAAAGAATTACGTCGGTAAGAATCGTTTCCAAATAGATAAGTGATACAAAAAAATAATATATTTAATTAGAAACAGTTGAACTTAGTAATGTACAGTCATGATGTTAATAGTAAACTGTGAGTGTGATCGATGTAGGAAACATTGAGACCTCCAACTCCATTACAGTTCATCCCTTTTCGTAGTACTATATATACATGTATTGATACCCATATGCACTAACTACACTAAGGTGGTGATCAGTAAATCGCACAATCCTATGCGAATTCAGTGTTAACCTTCGCTCTAATTGCTTTCGTACTTTTGAACTCAATAGATATTGTTGATAATGGTTATTTCCTTTTTTTTAAACATAGCCTTGAACGTCTTGATCATTTGGTTAAAAAATTTCAACACAAATGTGACATACATGAAGAATGGTCAAATGGAAAAATTGATTTGTTAAAATCATCGGATTTTAAACAATGCTCATTAAATGATCTTCGAGCATTGTCACGTAAACACTTAGCATTCGAAAGCGATCTTGCGGCGCATCAAGATCGTGTCGAACAAATAGCTGCTATAGCACAAGAATTAAACGTTCTTGGCTACGAAAAAATACAAGCTATTAATCAACGTTGTCAGAAACTTTGCAACGAATGGGATGAACTGGGTGATTTAACACAAAAACGACGTTCAACATTAACAGACGCGGAGAAAATCGTCGAACGTATCGATAGTCTATTTTTGGAATACGCAAAAAAAGCTGCACCCTACTCCAATTGGCTCGATGGTGCACGTGAAGATTTAATTGATATGTTTTTTATTCATACACTCGATGAAATATGCGGTAGACAACAAGAAAATAAGATACAAATAGATAACTTTAATCAATTGATTGTATTTTAGGTTTAATCGAAGCTCATAATCAATTTAAAGCAACATTAGGAGATGCTGATGCTGAGTACAAAACTATAATGCGTCTTGTTGATGATGCACAGCAAACATCTAAAGATAATAATCTCGATTTACCACCTAATCCATATACAAATATTCAATCTGAAGTAAGTTTCAAGCGGAATCACAATGAAAATATTCATGTCGTTACTTTCGATGAGAGAGAAAAAGAAAAAGGTTCCCATTGAATTCTTACGAACATAAAATACATGTTAATTTTTCGTACGAAGATTAAAGGATTAACTTGTTCTAATCAGTTAGCTTTTAAATGTCAAAAATGTAACATCTCTCCGTGGACGTGACGTGTTTCTTATGTCGAGACATATCGGATTCTGTATGTTTATTTTTCGGCCTCGATAAACATGATTTGAAAACTATTATACGAGCTTAATGGATGTATCCAAAAGCGAGACGTGACCGTCTCTGATCCTTAACAACTATGACGAAAATCAATTTTTCTATTGTATTATCATCTGAAGGTCTTCAATGAGTATTTCGTTTGTTTGCATTCATAGACGGTTCTAATCCTTTTTTCTCGGCACCCGTTTTTTTAAAGGCCTTTTCATACGAAACACAAAGAGCGTAGACAACTTCAAGAAATGTTCATTGGATAAGGCATTGATTTCAATTTTTTTTCTTTCTTTTCAGGAAATAAAATCAAAATGGAATGAAGTTCAAGCTCTGGTACCTCAACGTGATCAAGATCTACAAACTGAATATGCTAAACAACAACAAAATGAACGTTTTCGTTTACAATTCGCTCAGAAAGCAAACGTTGTTGGCCCATGGATAGAACGACAACACGAACTACTTCAACAATTAACCGTTCAAGTTGTTGGCACACTAGAACAACATCAGAAAAAACTCGAAACAATGGAAACTAGCGCCGCTCAATATCGTCCACATATTGATGAACTTGAAAAGTACAATCAACAAATTCAAGAATGCATGATTTTCGAAAATCGTCATACACCGTATACAATGGAAGTTATACGTGTTGCATGGGAACAGTTACATACACAATTGACAAGGCAAATTGCTGAAATTAAAAATCAAATTTATACATTAGAGAAGAAAGGCATTAGCGAAGAACAAATGAATGAATTTCGCGCTGCTTTTGCTCATTTTGATAAGAGCCGAAGTCGTATGTAGTCTTTCGGTTGTTGTTCTTTCGTTATTCAAGAATTTTATTTCATAGGACGACTTGATCCAAAAGAATTTCGTTCGTGCTTAATTGCTTGCGGCTACAACATACGTGAAGATCGACAAGGTGATGCTGATTTTCAACGCATTATGGCAAATGTCGATCCAACACATACAGGCTTCGTTACATTTGAATCCTTTTTGGACTTTATGACACGTGAATGCTCCGAAGAAGATAGTGTTGATCAATTAACACTTGCTTTCAAGACGCTATCTGCCGATAAAGTAAGTCAACAAGTTTTGAGATTGAATTACCAATTATAACAAGCAGAAAAATACGTTTTTCAAAGTCCACAACAAAAGAAATAGAAGCATCTGTTCGATTTTACTTGAAATATTCTCAATCTATTGTGTAAATATTTCCTTTCGATATAATTGTACGCCTTCCTACAGCACTAATTAGATGACAACATTGATTAGTTTTTTTTTCTATACATTTGATTGACGTGTCCTTGAAGATAGGAATGTTTTTAGAACGCGGAACTTATTTATTTTTTGTCTGACTGACGACGGAAGGCCACCAACTGTTCAATCGCTTTTTCGTTGAAACTACTTGCATTATGTAGCTCCCAAGGAGTCATGGATACACTGAAAATATTTTAGGTGGATGGCTTGTTGTTACGAAAATAGTTCATTTGAAAAGGTATGGTTTTTAGTGAGTGCCTGAACTCGCCCTCAGGAACCTTGAAAAAAATTGATTTTTGACTTTCAACTTGAAAATTTACATAGAAATATGCCTTAACGAGAATAGTGTTGCGTGACCGTTTCAGACCATTCTACTATTCCTATCATTACACACCTGAAGGAGAGTTCAGGCACTCACTAAAAACCATGCCGTTCAGATGGACTATTTTCATAGCAACAAACTATCCGCCTAAAATATTTTCAGCGTATTCATATCTCCTTGGGAGCTACATAATGTAAATAGTTTCAATGCAAAAGGGATTGAACAGTTGGTGACTCTCCCTCGCGAGTCACCAGTACTGTTATCATGTCTCATGGACAACTCATATTTGTTTCTTTCGTTTTAGCCTTACATAACAGCTGAAGTGCTCAAACGTGAATTGCCACCGGATCAAGCTCACTGGTGTATACAACGTATGAAACCATACACAGGTGCCGATGGTGTGCCCGGCTCATATGATTATAAAACATTTTCATCTGCTCTCTACGGCGAATCGGATCTTTAAACTGTTTTTGTTTTCTATGGACGATCTCTATTTTCTATCGCTTTTATTTTTTCTTTATGTATCGTAATCCAAAAGAAAAAAAAAATTTTTGTTTTTCTTTTGCACAAAGAGATTCATTTGTTCGGATGGTCAAATATAATTACACGAAAAAAAAATACAATCAATGTCTATTATACTCATTTCGTTGAAAACATGATTTACACTTTTCTCGCTCTTTTTCTTTTCTTTTGTCTTGTGTCTTTATTATATATATATATATATATTTGTTTGTTTCTTTGATTGATGATTTTTGCTGTTTTTTCTTTTGCATATACAAATTTAGCAGACAGAAAAAAAAAGAAAACGAATGAATTTGAACTTGTTCCAAATGCTACTTTTTACTCTCTTTCTTTCTTTCTTGTATTCAATGTAAGAAGAAATCTTGATGTTGTCGTTTTTCTCTTTTGTTCTTCTTGATGGATATAAACGTTTTTTTTATTGTTGATCTTTGACCAATATTGTTGTGTTGGTGAAAATAGAAACCAAAAAACGAAAATCAACAGCAAATATTAATTATTACGAGTATTGCATGGGCGGTGTGTAGACGAACGATGATAAGAAATGATTTATCACAGCTTATTTTTATATTCAAAAATGCATGTAGTTTAGAATATTGAAATCTTTTCTTGGCCAAACAGGAGGATGGATATGTACGTTTTGAAAATAAATTACCTGTTTTTATATGCAATACTGCTTCGATTCTTATCATGAAATAAGATTAGCTAGTAGCTTTCGTTTATGTTTCATTAGTAAATGTATCTTACGAGAATGTTTACTAATATTACTTCAATAATAAGTCATTATATAGAATCAGTGAATCGGACACTTGTTACCAATGATTTAAATGGCGCTATCATATTTATAATTGTTGTTCTTGTATGGTATTCATCGAGTATTGTATTTCTATTGGGAATGCAAATGAAAACATCGAAAGAAACTTCTGATGAATTAACGAATCGTTCGACGAAATTATTTGAGCATAGTTTTCGTGATCTTACGAATAATAAAGAAATTTTAGGTAATAAAATATGTTCTTTTGAAAGAAAAATCTTTGACTTTTTGTTTACTTAGAACAACTTGCTAATAAAGAAAAACGAGATAAATTATGGGATATTTATTTGGGTACATCTGGAGATGTGCATGATAGAATAATCCGAGCTGACACAGCGCGGATTCGTAATATTGAAAAACAATTGGCGACGTTCGATGAATCTTGTAGAGATGATTTTATTTATTTCCCTCGGCGGAACCTCGAAGAATGGTCATCAGATACAAGTTTAACTAGATTAAATTCACGTCGGCGTCCTCGACGTCGATCATCATTAGATTACCAAATTCTTGACGAATGGAAAATACTTTCTGATGAATTAAAAACCCATGAAAACTGGCCATGGGCTATACGAAAGTTAATAATTCGTCGAAATTTACGCCGACACCAACATACATCAGAATGTGGATCAGCACCTTGATTAAAAATCTGCCCTGTTCGTTCGTCACCCTCAGTACAATTTGTCCCTAAACAGAAATAGTCGTAGCTACGTTCCAAATAAGATTAATTATGTTCTTGTATTATTATTAGCGCTTATAGCTTGCCAACTGTGTAAATAAAAACCGTGAAATGTTGGCATACGATCATAGAATGGCGAGGGAAGGTCACAAAGTGTTCAATCGCTTTTGCGTGGAAACTGCTTACATTAGGTAGCGCCCAAGGAGTTATGAATACGGTGAAAATATTTTGGGCGGATAGCTTATTGTTACGAAAATAGGCCATTTCTAAGGTATGGGTTTTAGTGAGAGCCTGGGTCCCCCTCAGAAACATTAAAAAAATTGATTTTCGAATTTCAACTTGAAACTTTATATAGAAAGACGCCCTAAGGAGAACAACTTTTTGTGAATATTTCAGATCTTTCTACGTTTCCTATCACTAGACACAATTATTATGAAATTTTTATTTTACATCTTTCAAATAAAGTGGCAGATTTTATGAAAAAGACAAATTCAATGACCAAAACCATTCATAAAACGCTATTCTCGTTGAGGTCTATTGTTATATAAAATTTCCAATCAAAATTCGAAAATCATTTTTTCTAATGTTCCTGAAGGGAGTACGGCAATCATAAAAACAGTGCCATAAAAATGATCTATTTTTAGTAACAATAAGCTATCGGTCCAAAATATTTCCAGCGTATTCATAACTCCTTGGGAGCTACATAAAACATGTAGTTTCAACAAAAAGCGATTGAACGCTTGGTGGTCTTCCCTCATGAGAATCAAAAGTCATCTTGTGATTTTCATTTAACTATCAAAAATAAATAAATCAACCATGAGATTTTCAATCCTTTAAGAAATGAATACCTAATCAACCTCAAAGACATTCGTATAGACAAGTGAATATAATTCTATTGATTTAAAAAAAAAGCGCCCTTGAATTAAATAATCGCCGGTGTTTTATTTCATATAGGTTATTGATACATAAAAGAACTTTACACTTAATATGATTATGAACTTAATTATTGCAATATTATGCAGCTAATAACCATAGCGGTCGTCTCTCTTGCAATTATGAAATATATTCTCATATACATAACCTACACACACTAATATCATGATCTAGTGTGCAGTAAGAGTATTGAAGTGATTACGCGAGTGAATTCCAACAGGAGAAAAAAGTTATAGGTTATTGCAATACACAATAGTTTTATTAACTCAATAACGAGATTCCATTAGTATTAGATCATAGTATAATGATCCGGATTGAGCGGTAACATCACAAATATTCGACCTTCCGCAAAAAAAAGGGCAATACAAGAAGTGAACGATATGCACCTCGCCATAGAATGATAATGCTGATGAGAGGCAGAGAGACAATAGGAAAGTAAATAGTGATAGTAATGATCAATTGTAGATATTATCTTTGTCTCGTGCTTCGAGTCCTTCGCGATGATTTGTTTATTCGTACACGAGCGAGCGACAAAATATATGATAAATCAAACAAGTTCTGTTTATAATGAAAATAGATTTGTTACTTGCAACTAGTTTATTAATTACGACAAAAGAATGATTGACATGTTATCTAAGCAAATATATACAGCGACATTGTCATTCGCGAGAATCAATGAGGGCAAAATAATCTACTCATTATTTTCTTTTCTTAGACAATATTCTCTTGTTTTTTGTAGGTTTTGTTCTATCGATACTACAATGCATCATATTCATCTTTCTTCATACGTATGTAAGTGTGATGAACACAACGTGATTACGACATTGATTTGCATATCATCAATCGCGTGAGATTATCAATGATGCTCTCTGTATATCTCGTATGTATTCAATTATGAATAATGTTTTAAATCTATAAGATGATTACATTTAGATTATTTGTCTTATACTTCATCGGTGCGACCAATTCACTGCTGCAAAGAATATGTCACTTATGGATGGTGCGATGTTTAGTAAAAATACGACACATCGCGGTAAAGGGTTAAAAACTGAGGGCTCTCTGTCAGATGATATTATCGAATTAAATATTGGTGGACAAAAAATGACCACGTTGCGTTCGACACTGACGGCTATACCCAATTCCAAGCTAACTTTCATGTTCAGCAAGGAAAATGCGAAAAACATGTTGCCTGTAGATAGAGAAGGGGCAGTCTTTTTTGACTACAATCCTATTTATTTCAATCATTTACTGGACCAATTACGATTAATTAAACGAATGCCGAACGTATATGGATATCAACTACGATTTTCACCACCATTCTTAAGCGCATATGTCAACTTTACTCATATGCTTGCTGATCTGGGGCTGACACGTAAGTTCGATATCCTATCATTCACATCCGAAGATTTTCGGCTGCTGCTAGAAGAAGAAAATCTAATGAATAGAAATTCTCGTGTTTTTCTTCTAGCTGATCATTTCCTATCGCCAATGGAAGGTACACATGCAAACTTGTCTGTGAATTCTCTCAATGGCTGGCAAGAATGTTATCGTAGTACATACGATGTACCGTTCAACATATCTGTATTAACAGAATCTTGTAATGGCAGTCGACTTCTTGTTGCCTGTCGTCCAGTCCATAATAAAAAGACGCTGACACTCGCTGGCATTGGATATCGTGAAGATATTTTACATCCGTGTTTACCCAAACGCTGCAAAACGAATGGTGAACCAAGGAAGCTCACAGGAAGACAATTCATGTGTTCCTCCTATCATCAATGCATTACTCAGGCTAAACGTGGCGTTGGTTGGTACCATGTAGATAATCAAACGTGGGGTTTTGTACGCGGATCTTTGTCGTTCGTCGTCAATCCGTGCGATTCAAGTAATTTGGATTCTGATTATCGACTCTGCTGGACACTACAATCCGATATGAAAAAGACAAGCACGGATAGGTGTGGCAGGGCAAAGAATCTACACAAATCAAACCAATGGGAACGTGTTATCTATTATATTTATTGACTTTCTTGCATGTGGAATGAAAAACTTGATTTTCTAGTTAGTTTAGTCATATATATATATATATATATTTCATTTTTCCTAATTATATGTACTGATAATGGCTTGAATAAAAATCAAAACTTTATACATAAGAAAAATATAATAACTAAAATGTTGACGTCTGTTACTTTGCTTATGAAAGACGTGCCACAATTGTCCCAGTTTCTTTGTGTTCTATTTTGGACAGGAACATATATCTCACTGTTCAACTATTTTCCTCATATCGTTAGAACAGGATAAATAGCCGGTCACGCTTATCAGAGGCCTGACATAGACGAATATTTCCCATGATTGCTTCATTCATCTAATTTTCTCCCTTTACAGCAACTAGACATAAAAAAAACATTTCATTAATGATTTTATGATTAACAAATATCTATCAGCCTTGTTCTATTCACTTGCTTAGTCATTTTGAAAGAAAACTTCACGGTAAACTATCCCGAACATAAACATAAAAACGCGGAACAGAAATATTCCAATGCTTCAATTCTTCTCTGTTTCTCTTTTCATATTTCGACGTCCGGTAAGCTTTCGATGACTCATCATCATATGACTAAAGAATATTTCTTAGAATATTGCGTTACAGCTATTCTATTCATTCCATCGACAAGAATGCGATACTCATCAAACGAACCGAGATGAAGTGACACGCGAATGTTTTAAAAGATATCTCAGTTTACCTATTGAATTCATTTCAATCACTAGAATGCGAGAATCTCAGTACGATCTCAGATTACATGGAAAATGAATATATCGTAATAGCCACGTATTTATCTATTCAATTCATTCTGAACCGACAACAACGACGTTCATCACATAATCCCGAATCGCATGATCGATGAATATCTCTCAGGACCATTGTATTCGCATATTCATTTGATTTCATAGGCAGATTTTCAACTTGCATCTTTGTATTTCCGATCGAATGACAAAATGAATGTTTCCAAAGATTGTGATTTTCACGTACTTTATTATTTCCGAAGGTGAACGTGGAATTTTTATCGTAGGATGTTCGATCACATAGCTGATGCATATTTTATAGAATAGTTCTAATCGCGTATTTATCGTATTTCTAAAAAAAGGAAACTAAAAGTCGTCAGACAACCCGGATCATGTAGTAAATCAATATATTTCAGAATCGTTGTGTTTATCAATTCTATTATTTACAAGGGAAAAAAGCACGATTGATTAGGTTAAACAGTATCAAATAGAAAAGGAATGTTTTCTACGACGATATTGTTCACCTATTCGTGTGATATTTAAGATCAGAGAGAGAAATTCTGCAGATTATTGAAAGTTACATGACAAGCGAACATTTCGCACGAGACTTCTGTTCGTCATTTCATTTGGTGTCGGCAACGAAAACGCGAAATTCAACAGATAAATCAAGATCACCTTAAATATGAATATGCTTCATCATAGTTCTGTTCAGCAATTGAATACATTGCGAAATCGGAACGGCGACTATCACCACGGGCTGTAAGAATCAATAACAATCGAATGCTGTTGAAGATATCAACGTTCACTTATTGCAATGATTTCACAGACCGGATTGTGAACTATATTAGATGATTCAAGGGCAAAGGTCTAACGAATTTCTTTCATTATCGTTGAGTTCAGGTCGTTGCCTCTTTCGAAGAAACGAGAGCGAGATTCATCATGCAATCTAAAGTCAAGCCATCAACGAATATCATTGAAGATATTTAGATTCAGTTATCAGTTGCATTTCTTAGACATGTAACTGATATTACTCACGTAATGGAATAGCCTATGACAAATGAATATTTCTCAGAATACTTTTGTTTACCTGTTCATGTGTTTCAAAGGCAAAAATGCGATATTATTCCGACGATCCAAGATCACACGTCAGATGTATACGTCTGAAGACACTTGCGTACATCTATAGTCTTTAATCCAAGCAGAGATATACAAAATTCGTTAGATCTATCAAGTCTAAAGGATAAATGAATATTTACAACGATATTTTTATGCACCTATTGAATTCATTCCAAAGATTAGGATACGATACGCATCAGATGAGTTAAGATGACATGAAAGCTGAATATTGTCGATCATTGTTAAGTTCGTCTACATGCATCATTTCGACAACAAGAGAGTCCGATTGATGGAATGATTTCCGCCTACATGACAAATGAATATTACTCAGGATAGTTCTGTTCATTTATTTATCTGATTTTGACCATAAAAGTAAAACATTCATCTTATGATTAAAGACGATAGAAAGAATGAATTTATTTGATCATCGTTTCGTTCGTCTATTCATTGAGTCTTTAAGGCAAACATGTGACTCCTATGCTCTAGTCGATGATCACATTTGACATAAATATGGCTCATCATAGTTCGAGTCAATTATTCATTTCACTTCGAAGACAAGTTCACAGCATTGGTTAGATTATTACTCTCGAACAACAAGTGAATGCTTCACAGGACGAAGTTGTCATTGGTTCATTGGGTTCCGATCGCAAACGTAAGACATTCGTCAGATGAGTTATGATCGTATGACTAACGTATATTTGCCAGGAAATATCTGTTCGCTTACGAATGTGATTTCATCGAGCAGCACAGACATTCACATCACAGGATCGAATATCACACGACGAACGAATAGTCTATAGAATAGTTCGATTCATTGATTCATTCGATTTGAGAAGACAATCATACGAGATGCGTCAAATCATGTCAAATGACATTAAAAATGAATACGACCAACGATAGTTCTGTTGAGTAATTCATTTAACTTCGAAAGTAAGTCGGCAAGCTCCATTTGATGGCCCTAGATCACATGAGAAACGAACTTCCAGAATGGCAAGTAGCATGTTTCTATTTCCTATTTAGATGATTTGTAAACGAAAATTTTGATTTGTGTAGCTGCTGAAACATTATACGGCGTGAGAACCTTTTCTACCTGTTTTCTTTCAATTATATAGTTCTCGTCAGAAAAAGTATTAGAACGTCAGGAAATTACGAGAGATTTAAACAAAAATGAATGTCTGACATCATCGTTATGTTCTACTATTTTTTGAGCTAACATTTTTCTCTCAGATCTCTTCAATGGTTATAATATCATACAATAAATAAATGTCGATGACGAGCGTTGTATTGAACAATTACGTTCGGTTTTGTTGTTAAACTTTGAACTCTATTGTTCCATGAAACAGCACGTATTTATGAACAGACTATACGGATGCAAAGTCTACCTTCATCATATTCCATAAAGCAGAACTGTCAGATTGGCTAGACGACAAATATCACAAGATAAATGATTAATTATTTTCCAAGAGTCACGTTCATGTGTTCATTTCTTTCGCGAAGGAAAATTACTAGGTGTATCAAATCCTTCGAAATCATATAAAAAACGAATCTTTGCCAGTATTCTTCTGTTCGCCTATTCATTTTATTTCGAAAACAAGGAAACAAGATTCACGAGATTGTTTAACATCACAAGACAAATGGGTAATTCTCACAAAAATTTTATCCGTCAATGTATTTCATTTCGGAGACAAATGAACGCCATTCTCGATGATCAATGATGACGTCACATATGAATATACATATTTTCATCTATGCTGTTCAATTTATGGGACGATGATATATAAAAAAGTTGATGAAGAGAACGTAGACAGTGCTTATGCACTTCCCAATAATCGCGTTCACATTTTTTTCATACATCCCAAACTAAATGTTTCAAATCGTTTTCATAGTGAAAACTACGTCTTATTGAATGAGCAAAATCAATAACTAGTAGAACTACTTCATTCGATGCGGTCGATACTTTTTACGTTACCAAAATAATCTTTCATTACATATTTGATGAAACCTCTTCAGAGCACTTACCAAAGAGCAATTCATTAGCGCAGTCGGAATTCAGCCGTAAGCAGGGAAATGTTTAGTTTAAAAAATGTTGCATTAAATATGAACGAATGAAACATCTCATACAAACATGTCCATCACATGAAAGTTTTGTCGGGGAAGTGCATCCAGATAGTCGTTGTTTATCTAAATAAAATTAAAATAAACGACTGATTGATAGCAGAGTGTGCAAAGTTCAAATCAGTCTGATTAGAAAAAGCAAAATTAAGAATTTAGATAGTCTGTAAGCCAGTAATTTTTTGTTAAAAAATATTTTTTGCTTGAGAAATATCTGTTTAACTCTCCTACTTAAATTATTCAAATGGCCATTTTCATCACAGATGCAACTGAAGTGCTCACCGTTCATTTGCGATTGATTATCTGCAAATGCCAAGTTCTTCTCAACATATATCATACGGTTCCAATCAATTTCGTCACTTTGCTTTACATTTAATTCAATTTCCGATGATTGTGCACACTTTTTCAAGTCTTCGCTAAGTTTACGAGCTGCTTGATTTAATCGGACTATATCCTGTTCAACGATACCCTTTGTCTCTCTTAATTCATCTAATTCTTGAGACAACGCTAGAAATGATTTTGCAATTTCTTCATGTTTGGAATTCTTGATTTTCATGATCTGTTGTCTAGCCGATTCAGCAGCTTGTTTTACCTTCTCAATAGTCGTTCGCTGCCATTCATCAACTTTTGCCAGTTGTTTATCGGTCTGCATGTTTGAACTAACTTCATTTATTTGTGCATGAAGATCATTCCGATCTGATGTGAGCACGCTTAATTCATCGAATAGTGATGCACGATGATTTTGAAAGTCATCATCACAAAAATAGGCTTTGCATCCTGGGCAAAAACAGGTCCCTGCACGGGTTTTACATACCGAACAACGATTTGCTGAAGCCATCCTTTTACAAATAACAACGACTGAAATAGTTCCGATGAAAAAAATTTAACTTTAAGTGATCAGTAATTCGAAATATCGTAAACGCTTTATCGACCGACTAGTCCCTCAGGTAGGAAAATGAAAAACAATGTTTCGACGCAAATAAGGTTGATTTTATGACTCATAGAGAAAGAAAAAATACAATCGACCATAATGATTTTCATCTAAACGACGCTGGTTGTATTTCTTCTCTTAAGATACGAAGAAGAAACGAAAGGTACACCTTTTTTCTTACCTAAATAAGGTTGATTTTATCACTTGTTGAGCAAGAAAATAAAACAATACAAGCGTTTTGGTTCAAACTTGACAATGAAATCAGACCAAGACATTTACACAATTGAAAATTTTATGACATCATGAATACAGAAAAAATTCTTATGATATTTCTACACAGCTATTTCATTTATTACAAACTTTTATTGATTATTAAAAGGTTATTCATTAAAATATGAAAAACATGGATCAATATTTGTTTTTGTACACATAGCTTGTCACTATGAAAAATGATTTCCTAAAGTACAGCGATGGATTCGAGATAACGAACTATAAATTTCTGTTTCTATGAATAATATTGTTTCTCAAAGACACCATGAATAATTGGAAAATTTGAGTTATAAGCATCTGTCTTATGAAAATAGATTTTGTCATCGATATAAGTACAAAAACAGCAACTGTTTTTCGGCTTGATTGTCATCACTTCATGCATCTTAATTTACACTTAAGAGTATCAATCAATGGTACGCCGATTAGGAAAGGATAGTACTGTAAATAAATTTGAAAAGAAACGCACTATATAAGAAAGTAAAACAACCATAGAAGTCGACATTCGCCTCAAACTTTTGGATAGATTAGCGATCATGTTTTCTATTCTATTCGTATGTATATTTCAATGGGAAATTCTTTTCTTGAAGTAATATTTGTAATATCTAGGTTACTTGGCTTTTAATATTTAACCAACAATTAATAAGCAAGACTGATGGTTTCATTATTGAATCGGGTGAAGATGAACTCGATAAAGAAATTGTGGATACAACTGAAAATACTCTTGAAAGCGATGACGACGATGATCATTCTCACAATACGGTAATTACTAAAAATCCAAAATCGAATTCGTCAGCAAATGATATTATTGAATTAAATGTTGGTGGTCAACGAGTGACAACATTTCGTTCCACTCTCACTGCTGTGCCTGGTTCAATATTAGCATCGATGTTTACTGTAGATGAAAAAAACAAAACGAAGTCGAAACGAATAGAACCGGTTGCATACTTTTTTGATTATAATCCTGCGCAGTTTACATATTTACTTGATCAATTGAGAGAAATAAAACGCATGGTAAAATTCATCCCATCTGAACTTGATATTAAGCCACCGAGCGCGGATGTACGTTTTAATTTCTCTATTATGCTCTCTGAACTCGGATTGAATCGTAAGTTAAATTTTGTCGAAAACAATTGATTGTTTATTTTTTTCGTAGCTGAACGATTCTTGTCACCAATTGTTGGTATTCATCTTAATTTGAATAAAACATCTCTCGTTGGATGGAAAGAATGTTATCGTGGTAGATATAATACACCATTCAATGTTTCAGTATTGACCAACATTTGCAAAGGCAAGCGACTTCTTGTTGCCTGCCGTTCTCTTGACGACAGAAAAACGTTGGCTGTAGCTGGTATAGGTCAACGTCAAAATATGTTTAAACCATGTACGTCAAATCCTTACTGTACAACTGAAAAGAATAACGGCCTAGGTTTTTACTATGTAACAGATCGTGTTTGGGGTTTTGAAGGACGTCCTCAGGTACGAATTTATATAAATTGTCAATCAGAGGATACCATTTACATCTATTTGTTGAATATGATTTAACCTATTATAGGGTTGGATTGAGCATCAGAATTATGGATATGGATATCAAAATAATGGAGCTATTTTAAATCCTTGTGATACAAGCGATCAGCATTCTGAATATCGGCTCTGTTGGTCAATTCCATCGAGTGCTGGCCGTGGTAGTGGAGACAGATGTGGAAGTGAAAAAAACCTTCACAATTCGAAACGATGGGAACGTCTGATTTTTGAAACTATCTAAACAATGACTTATATTATTTTGCATGTTACAAAACTACATATTTAGTTATTCAAATGCTTATAACTTATGATTTTAAAAATCATTCTGTGTGTGAAAGCTTTTCAAAACCTTTTAATCCGAGTGGCTTACTCTAATACACAAATAAAAGGCTTAAGTAAAACTATTGCGGGTCTCTAGTATTCAATCAAGTAAGAAACCTGATGGTTGCTTTGTTTTTGTATCAAAATACATCAATAAAAGATAGCGAAATGATAGGCACTTTTGCTCTTGTGTCCCAACTCCTGTCGATAAACAATAAACTTTTTCTCGATATATTCTGCAGGTTTGAAAGTTGAAATTTCAATTAAATTCCGGTTTCAAGTTTGACATAAATGATTTTCAACAACTTGCGTTGTTACTTGAAATACATCGACGTTGTGAAGAAATTATTATATTAGCTGCACTGGTTGCACCTGAGCCAGATCCGACAGTACTCATCTAGATCCGAGTCGATGTCATGAGAGTTGCCTGCAAATTCCGTTGTTGAGGATGTGGATTTGTGTGAAAAGAAGACTCACACCAACAACAAAAGTACTTGAAATGATGTAATTAAAACCAAACGAAATAAAGAGAACTGTGCAAAACATCAAGTTGTATCTTTCTATACTATTGAGATTAAAAACTGGGGGCGGTAGACTTACGATCAAATACGACGGTATCATTTTTAATCTAATTCAATCAGTTGCAGCTAAAAGTAGATAGTTCACATGTACATCTACAAACTGTATTTTATGCCGCGTATTTATCGCTATTTGGCCCAATCCAATAAATCTGCATACCACCTATGCATATTCATATGGATATAGACAGAATCGATACTGATATATAAACGACTCATACATTATATTAAAATGTATGATGTGACTTGATAAAAACCTAAACGATAAACATCGTTTGTATGCACATCTTTATCTACGTGTTACAAATTTATTATAGTGTGTACGGCACCTTGAATTTCCTGGAAATAGGAATTTACCATGTTCTCACAAATCTATAGGGCATACGAGGCGTGAAACAAGCTACTTTCCAATATCATTCGCCTCACTCAAACCCATACAGTGCGTGATGGTTTGGGTGTGGGTACCTAGTGATTGGCGCGCACATTCTACACTCGACATAGGTTTTTATCATGTACCAGAACATGTCTGGGGTTTTGAGTAGCTGTCTATTTCGAATTCGAATATAAATGGAGAAAAGAAAAATTTAAACTAAAACTAAAAATTTATTCCTAGATTTAGTTTTAGTTTAACTTTCCGATATATGCGAAACATGAATACATATATACCCTTCACCCGCACCCACATTTGAGCACTCCTCTATGAACCGCAGTATCCATCACCTACAACCACATCTGAAGTATCCCGGGTACCCCTTCTACCCACTCCCTCACTCGCACCGCCACCCACAATTACCCCTTAGTCCTCCTCAGCCCACACCCATTCCATCTTAAACTAAATATAAAACTAAAACTAAATCTATTTCTATCACTTAGTTCCGAGTTGATACCATGCAGTTGGATGTCCATTTATATTCGGATTCGAACTAGGCATCTCATGGGAGCTTTCAAGGATGCTCCCAAGTAAGAACGTGCATGAATATTTATATTTATATTTTGTTTTTGAATTAATATAGCATCGATGAATTTAATTGACATAATAGGATTTCCTATATAATAGAGGTGAGCCGATCCCATTAGTCGGAGATACTCCAGCAACGAGATCAATTTGTAGTGCTTGCTGTGTTTTCCTTCTTACTTTTTAGAATCAGTCACATGAACATATTCAAGTTAAATTTTATGTTTCAATATAAATACAAAAGAAAAGAAAAACCAATGAAATTATTCTTCTTGTTCGTCATTATCCGATGATCCAGCATCATCTTCGTCATCATCTCCATCTTGCTGCTGTTCTTCGTCTTCTTCTTCGCCATCATCGCCTAGAGACAAATAAACACAAAGCAAAATTATTTTCAATTGAATAAAAATATAATTACGTTGGTTTTTACGTTTTTTCTGATCAACATCAACGTTTTGTTCCAGACGAGCTTTATTAACAAATTCAGTAAAGACTTTCGATAGGTTCGCTTTTAGTCGCTCATTAGCAGCAATTAGTTCTTCATAGGAACAGGATTCTTTCGATGTCGATGAATCAAGTATGGATTCTTCGAATGTTTGATGGAAATTCTCTGATTTAACATCTATCGTTGCTTCAACTTTTTGTGTAGTCATCTGCATTAGGAAAATAATAGATAATTCAATCTTTAGTGTTTTTATTAGAACTTGTATTTATTTAAAAAATAAGAAAAACAATAAAAATATCTAAGAAAAATCAAGTTCGTTCATCAGTAATGATCACAACGTAGGTCTATTGAATGGAACGTCCATAGTCGAAAACTAAAAAAAATAAAATAAATTCTTTTAAATTGTATAATTAAATTCGATTATTCATATATTCTTGAAAATATATGACAAAAGAAGTGAATTCAATCAAGTCTATTTTCCAAGCGTAAATTTCGATCAATGCCACAGATAGAAATCCAGGTGCATGTCGTACTCAACGACTTGGGTCGATACTCGAAAAGAAGATTATTATTGTGTACTCTTACCTATCGTAAAAAAGCCCATATGAATTCATTTCGACTAACACTGCAGTGTATGTCCATTCGTTATTAAAAATAAATGATGGAGCACAAATCATTTGCTGTTGAAGTAAGCATATGAATGGTTAGAAAAAGAAGTGGAGGACATCGTGCAGCTATACGAATCGAACGGAGGTACACGAGATAAGACTTAGCGTAATGGTGACCATTATTCTAGACCTAGAATAAATGTGTAATCTGAGGACAAAAGAAGTGCCCTAAAAAATAATTTGAATTTTATTCTTGTTCTCAAGCTTTTTCATTCAACGTATACACACACACATAAACGAAGATAAGAAAATATAGACAGCCAAATGCTTTAAATGTACAATGAAAAAAAATATATAACAAAAGAAAAATAATAAATACAGTAATTTATATGATCAAGATAAATGATCATCATCATTATCACTGCTGTCACTTGATGAAAGAACTATGACTTCAATGTCAGCTGGTTTCGATTTATTACTAGGCGATCGTCGAGGACGTTTTCGTTGACGACGATCATCGTCGTTGGAGAAAAATGATAACATTGAACTGCTACTTCGTTTTCGACTGAGATTCTCTTGATTATTATCTAATGGAAAATCTCTTGTAATTTTTGCTAAATCATGCCAATAACTGTCATCATCAATATTTGATCCCGGAAAAGATTGTAATGAATGTTCACTCGTAGATGATCGATTCTTACTATTAGTTCGTGACCTTTCATCATTAAGATCATCTTGGTTAAGCAAATTATTTGTAGGTGGAGTAGCCGGAAGCGATGAAGTAACACTTTGAGCATTATTTTCTTCTAGTTCACTTTCACTACCGGACGAAAGAACAACGCAGTCGCTTGTAACTGATTCACGACGTGGTTCTAAATTAAAAGTTAATTTATTACAAAAGATATTTACACATCATGCAAACACAGGAGCTGTCGGAGACAAGTATGGTGATGAGCAGTAAAACAAATCACATGAACTTATCTCTATAGGTTAATGATACTATTCATCTACGTACAACATTAAGTTAAATGTCACTTTTTTTTACAAAAGAGGTTAGCGTATCTATTTACAAATAATTTGGTAATCAATTTTTGCAATTTTCTCAGAAATACCAATGGTAATATTTTTGTTTCATCCGGTAGAAGAAATATAATTAGTCTACTACAAAAAAAAACTAATGATACTACAGAAATATTTCACACAGAGCGATTTTTGAAAAAGACTTCGACAAGTTTTATTGAGTTCTTACTAACTTCAGTTAGATGACGTCCTTCGCTCTGAGACATAGAAATAATCATCTCGACAGGAAGTTCGTGCATAACATTCAACAAAATTCTCGAATTTATATTGTACTATTAAAACTTACTATTGAGAGTATTGTTATCCGTTGATTCTTCGTCATCGTGATCGTTTTGATGCGGTGAATTATCAAGAGCACTATTAGATCGTTCTTGTTTCACAGTGTCCAATATATAATAGCAATCAGATAAACTTTCCGATGATGAATCAATTTCAACAGTTGAACAGTTCGGTGGTATATTCGAAATAATAGTTTGTAAACGTTTATCAACACGTAGATTTTGATATAAAGCCGGTTTTTTGCATAAAGGACACGTCCATTGTAAACGTCGTTCATTCATTTGAAGAAATGACCGTAGATCGAAACATGTTAAATGTAAACAAAGTGATGATTTAGCTGGTACAACAATTAACGCTTGTGTTATTGGACAAATTAATGATACACGATGTTTTGTTGCCACAAGACCTGCATCTTCAATTTCAATATCACTATCATTATGATGGTTGGGTTGTGATGTTGGTTCATGATCTGGAGTATTATCGATTAGAAAATTTAACGGTACATGACGAACAAGTTGAATTTTTAATGTATAAGATCTGGGTAAATTTCTCAATGTAATACTCGATGGTAGTTGAATCCAAAGATAACTTAGAGTATTCTGTACGTTTGATTTTAGAATTAATCTATCGGTTATATCCGTAGGAAATAAAAGTGAATGCGCTTGTGAACCAGATGTTTTCGCTATATTATTATTAATCACTGTATGACCCTAGGAGACAAATAAGCATTTCTCATTGTATTCGTCTTTTCAGTTTCAATATTTAACTTACGTTGAGTTGAACGAATAGATAAGGTGGTAAAACATCATTTTGTTTTTCGGATACAATAGTCGGTAAAATGCGAAGAAAGACTTTAGCAAAACCTTTATGTATAAAATTAATTTCGTAATCACTTAAGATAAAGTGTAGAGGAGCAAATGAATTCCAATCAACCGGAATATTTATGGAATCAATATTACGTATTCTTTCGAAAAAAGGTAAATCAGTATTCTGCACAAGATCTGGTGCTGGCAAATGGTCAACCGGTGGTTTCGGCGGTTGAACGATTGGATTTTGATTGCGATAGTCACGTACTCCAGATTGGACAGGATAAGATAGCAGTGGATGAAGTGGCCGCGTTGAATTAATTCGGGCTAAATTTATTTGATTAATTCTATTGATTAATTGTGGAGTTAATTTTGAGCATATAACAATTCTACAGCGTTCAAACAATTCACGTTTATTGCCTTGACGTGAAAGACGAGCATATTCAAGTATAGCCTGAAATTGTTTATATCGGAAATTTTGAAGAAAACAAGAACCTATCAAATTTTACTTGTAAATCTGGTACACGAAAAAGTCGTATAACATCAAGTGCATTTTCTTTCAATTGTGAACTTGGTGATGAATTCATTTTTTCTTATAAATAATTTAAAGCATTTATTGTAAAAAAGAAAGTTTATTTCTTTTTTTTTTTAATGATTTTTCTTTTGATAATAGACTTCATTGTATACCAGATGAAAGAACGGGAATTCTATGATTAAGACACTTATGATTCGCTCAAGTTTTTCATGTAGAAATTCGCTTAGTGGTGAAAATAGTGATCAGGGTGTTTTTTGAATGAACGTTTCTTTCTAATTCGATTTTTAAATAGCAATTCGACTTTTATTCTCGTTTAATTGTCATTTGATTTTATTTCTCAGCCAACGTCTGGTGCTATCTATCGTACTGAAAGACATCGATGATATTACTTCATCAGTGGACTGGCTGTTTAATATTTAATGTACACCGGATTCAAATTATATGTTGAAGATATTAATAATTGTTTCAGTTTGAAATAGGATAGTGCCTCTGGAAATACTACGTTTTTTTCCTGTATTACATGACTGATTTATCATGCTCATTTCTGTAGTTGAAATCTACTCCTTCCACTCTATTTTCGGTATACAAAATAATTTAAAAAAAGAAGCAATAGTGCGCAGAGATCTCGTGAAACTGAGAACCTTGCTATTTTACATTCAAGATCACAGCGACATTCATGTTTCTTTCATCTTTTCATATATGTAATACATTGTTATTTCCTGTATTTAATAAATTAGTGTTGGAAAATCATCTTCAAAAAATTTCTATTTTTTTCCATTGAGCTGAGATGCGTTAGATCTTTGATATTCTATAAATTCTAAGATGTAATGAGGTTAAACATTAGTTGAAAATATTAACAAATCAATGGCTAAAATCTCTAATGAAACCCTGGAACTCGCCGGGAGAAGAAAAAATACTTGCCAAGATCAGAGGAGCGCCACCTTCTTAATCCGTTTCCTGCCTTGGGCACTCGTGATTTTCTGCGATTTTGGAAAGTATTGAAAAGATAGTGTTGTGAAACTATTATCATGATCGATGTCACGCGTTAGTTTCATTATTAAAAGTTTTCTTTAAATACAACAGATTTTTCATATAATTGTTTCCTTTTTTGACGATGATTTTATCGCTTCATTTTCATAAGGGAATATAAAACAAAAGCTCTTTCTATAATTAATTAAAATAATCAAGACTACACATCATAAATCATAATCTAATGAGATCATCTTCATTATCAATAATCAAAGTTTTATATGTTATAGAATGAAAATATTTTCCATTATTAAAAAATATCTCTTTTATATTCTCTTTACTTTTTTTTCCTTCTCCCGCTTTATTATTCGTGCCGCTCGTGGGCTTTCTCTTTGTTATTCGAAGTCTAACAAACAAACATTGATGAAATACTCACAATAATCAGAAATAGAACTATATTTGCAATATGTGTCACAGGAAGAGCAATCAGCACACAAAAAAAAGTAATAATAAAAGAAAAAATGATAGAGTTAGTTTCATGTTACTGTCGTCGTCTCAAGAAACATCAACAAATAATCAAACTCATATTTGTCGACGCGCTATACAAACAATAAGAAACGAAATAACGATCAGCTTTTTTCCCTTTCAATTATATCAGTATCATTGTAAGCCATAGGAGAATTCACCTTGAACTTTTGCATATTTAGACGCACTTGATCATTTGTGTATTGAAATGTGATCGTTTTATTAGACATAGTCGACTTTTTATTATTATTAATTAGGCATAATAATGTATTCAAAGTTTTTATTGAATAGATGAATCACAACAGAAACTTGTTGATATTATCAATACAGCAAAAGTCAAACAGAAAATGAATTTTCTTTCTGTTATTTTATGCACTTTCCTTTTTTTCTCTCGTCCACAAGAGTGCATACGTTTGTGTGCAACAGCGGTAGACTCGAGTGGCGAGAACGATTTAGTTGTCAAAAAGTAGCTGTACCAACCGATGTCGTTTATTAATTCTGTTGGACGTTTCTTTTCTTGAAGCATGGGTTACTCACATCTTTTTCTTCTTTTATTTCTCATTTGAAGTAAATTTAGATGTGCATTATGTCAAAGTAAGTCGAATAGGCGCAAGGGAAAGGTAAAGAAAGGATGGAAAAAATAGATAGATTATTGTAGACGGTGGGGAAAAAAGAGAAGAAAACATTGCACCTCGTCATGTAGAACAGCCAAAAAACGAGCGCGCAAACGAGAATGCGCACAATACCTTCCAACTCTTGTTTAATTCACACACAGCTGCAGACACATACATGTGGAGCCTGCAAAACGACCCTCTTTGCTCTCATTCTCCTCTCTCCCTTTTTTTCGTTCCCGTTTTATGCCTGATGATGGAGAATTTTACGTGCGTGACCGTCGTTAAAGCGGCCGTGTATCATTTTTTTCTTCTTCTTCTTCTTCTTCTTCTTGTCTTGTACATACACACATAGAAAAATTGTATACACATATATATATATATATATACGATGTTCAATCATAAGGTATCAAATCGACATATGTGTCTATATTTAGATAAAATTTTCACACTCGCTATAGATGACATCGTCTACTTCAACTTATCTTCTACCAGAACTATCATCATCTTTACTAGGTGCAAAATCTATACTTATTAAACAATCTTCGCCAGCATTGGTCCATCCTTTGCATCATCAATTTCAACATTCATTTCATCGGCCTCCTCCTTCTCTGCCATCATATGCTCATCATCATCAACAACAAATGATGAAATCAATGCCTACTAATGATTCATTTCATTCATTAACAGTTGCTAATCTCAACAATGGAAATTCATTAAATAGTAACAATAACCCATCAGTATTAATAACAAATAATAATAATAATAATAATAATAATAATAATAATAATAATAACCATAATGATGATATAAGTGGTAGTTTAAATGGACCCAGTCTTTCACAAAGTATGGAATCAATAAATAATATCGGCTTACAAGATGACGAGGTTAGATATACATATATATAATTTCTAATATAGTTTTGCATCTTTAATTGTTCTAACATGTTTTTTTGTTTCTCTTACGGACATACGTCAAGATACTAATCGTCGATTGTTTTTCTTTGACAAATTTCTTGTCTATCGTTACTTGAGCCAATGACATGGTTCGAATGTGGAGAAATTTTTAAATCGATTCATAATATCGATTAAGGTATTTAAGATTCTTTCGTTACGGGAAGAAGAAGAAATAAAATAAATCGCTCACGATAAAAATACAAAATACTATTTAGTTGACATGCAAGTATGTATGTAACCTCGACAAATGAACTAATTTATCTAGCATGATTGAAAGCTTAAGCCGAAGAACAGATTTCTTTTTCTTTCTACTTCTTCTAATAATAATAATCACTCGCGTTTATTTTACATTTCATTTGTTTCTTGTTTATCGACTTTGCAATTTCTAACCATGCAAATGTTGCCTATGTTAGCATATGGTCCTATGAACAAGTAAGTTATAAGAAAATACTAGTTTTGGAACATTAGTTATTTCTTATGGTAGAAAGTACTCCTGTTTTTTTGTCAATATGTGTCTATATATCTGTAAATAAATACATGTATTTCTGCTTATAATCAAACAGCATTGTTAAAGATCGAGATGTGTAAGATGAGGAAACTTGCGCATGAGTAATGATCCTTATCGATCTTCGATGCGTTTTTGCTTATTACATTATTGAATTTATTGCAAGCATATTTAGTTAATGGGCGACAAGACGGAAGACGCGACCGGTCGTATACTAATTGCTAGAGCGTACAGCTGCTCTTTTTAACAGCTAGGTCAATGAATTAGCGATAGGAATAAGATAAATATCTTCATGGATAAAGCAGAATTGATTTAAAACTTGTTACTTAAGAGATTTATGAGTATACTTATTACACAAGGGACCGATTTTTTAAGACGTTGAAAAGTGACTATGATATATGAGAAAATCATGATGCAAAGAATTTTTTTTTCTCTTGCCGTAAGTTCGTCATTTTTGTTGAGCTATAGTTATCATCATGTTAGTCTTTCACTATTGGTTGTTGATGATGATCAGCGAAATTTATCATAGTTCTATTAAAAGTATTTATGCATGACCTCTAGGTCTGTTCTATTTACTTCTGATAGTCATCTAATTCACAAAGCGACAGATGAAAAAAACATTGAACAATAATCATCGTTTTCGTTACTTCTACAACTTATAATGGACATGAATGTATGAAATATGCTCGAGGGTTAAACGTTCTATTTACTAGAAGAAATAAGTTCAAAGACATGATTGAAAAATCTAAGAATAAAAACAATAGAGGACCATATGGAATTACGATTTGTCTTACATGAAAACAATACTCATCGTTCTCTATGTAGAACAATATAATGGAATATCAAGAAAATAATATATATATATATATATATATATATATATATATATATATAGACTACGCAATAATTCCATTCATAGAATCTTTTTCTTCTTTTTCTTTTGCTCGTGTGTCCTTTTTTTTATGCGTGTCTTATTTGTACACGGAATACAATATACAACATACTCTAAGTAAGAACGACTGGCAAATAGAGATATACATAGCCAATACTTTTTTGATATTATTGTAATGGAAACAAATGTATTCAATGAAGAAATAAATAATAGAAATCATATTGAGTCTAGGTAAGACTTTCTGTTTTTGTTCAACATTACACATCAATTAAGTATTAATGTGGAGTCTCATTAATAATAAGATATCATTATCTATAATTGATCCTCGAACATATAGACTGATATATAGAAAAGTCTTTCGTTAAAGTAAAAGATTAGATTGATTTTTTCCACGATGCTGAGCATTTTAACCCATTCATTATTTATTCAACTAGTACATTCAATGAGTTCCTTCTTTTGTATTTCTCCTTGTAATTGAAAATTGCTTCCGATTAAAGACTACCGTTCAGTTGCAGTTACTTCAGGGTACATTAGGCGTTTTTCTTTTTGTAGATGTGACAAGTGATCAAGCTATTCCGTTGTTCCGATCGATTTCTTGTTCTCTTCTTTTTTTTTATTTTACCAGTCGACTTCCGGTTTCTTTCTTCTTCTTTTCTTTTTATTTTAGGCTAGATTTAAAATGTTTTCTCTCCCCAATAACGTTTCTTTTTCCATGTTGCACGGACGAAGAAGTAAAAATGTAGAAAAATTTTCTATCGTTTTTCTTTCTTCTCTTGTTCTTTGAAAATGAAGCAAATGCGAGCAACTGCACTCAATTTCTCTCCTCTCGCGTTACACCTATTTAAATTGATATGATGATTCGATTACGATTCTAGCGGCCAACGATCGATCAATACCGATTGCAAATATTTAGTATCATCTTCGTTTTTCTTTGCAAATAATTATTCATCATCGTTCTAATCTTGAGTGAAGAGGTACCTATAGAAAAAGAATAGTATGAGTTTAATTTATTAGATCACTACCAATTATTTCTTTAATATACACACACACAAATATATATATATATATATATATGTACGCTCTGTTGTTATAGTCATTGTTACACAATGAAAAGTTCTACCGATGAAATAAATGAAGTAAGTAAGAAATTGGAATTTTTAAACCGAAAAAATATATTCGAAGCACTGTTCACATATATAACTCATACAGCACATTTTTTTAGTGAATGAAGCTTATGCACTAGCATCACCTAAATACACACAATCAGCACTTGAATAAAAACTGTAAACTTTTTCTTCGAAGATCTTCTATTATGAAAAAAAATCTCTACGGATTTCTCTTGTTGTCTTTCACTGCTTTGTTTTTTTTGCGTGTGTGTGTTCTGCACTTCAACTATTGCAAGAGAAAGGAATCTGGCAAATATCATTTCTTATCTTGAGATTGAGAAAAATACTTCCTCAATAATCATTAAGATAAATAAGCAGCAATAGATTATTGTTTGCTATCAAATATAGAAAAGACTTTGTATTTTTACCCAATTTCGAAATGATTAGTTATGCTAATAATAAAAGAAAGATTTTATTTTTTTTTCGGACAAGAAAAATTAATTCTTGTATTGATAATTAACAATTTTGATTATATTTTCATGTTTGAATTTTAAAAAAAATGTCATCATCGTCTGCTTTGTTCTCAAGCATTAATCCAAGAAATTCAATTAGTTCGAACGAAGATTTCTTCAATGTTGTTATTATTCTTGTTGCCATAAAAAAAAGCCTTTTAAATTATGTCTATATAAATGGAAATGCCATTGTGATAGCCTTATAAGCTAGAGGTGAATCTTGTTAAAACAGCAAAAAAAAATAAAGAAATATTTATTTTTTATTTTTCTCTCACTCATCAACTACTCGAATAGAGCATATGTAGATCGACGCACTCAACGCCCATATGTAACATAGACTAACATTTTTCCTGATTCATATTATTATCAATTATATAAACAATATATTTCTTTTTTTCCCTCTCTCTCTCTCTCTCTCTCTCTCTTTGTCGTTATTACTTGTCTTCATCCTTTGCATCATTGCTCTTCATTTCTGTGCTGATAAGAACTGTTCACTTCAAGTGCGTCACTCACTTCCTTCTGCTGTCTTTCACGCTACTGATCAAAACCATAACGGCAGTTTCATCATCTTCTTGATTGTCATATACAGGCACATATAGAATTCACACGAGATGGCACATGACAAATCTGTTGAAACTGAGAGTATATCGATTAGTATTAACAAAAAAATATACCATTTAAATAGTGAAAAAATGCATGTAGTATATCGACGACCGGTAAGTGTGCGTTTGCGTCTTGACACTAGAATACAACAGATTTCTTGTTCGTTCCGGAATATTTATCATTATGATCTATTTTTAGGTTCGAACTTTATTTGTATCTGGTTTGCCAATGGACGCTAAACCACGCGAACTTTACCTTCTCTTTCGTGGATTCAAAGTAAGCTTTTGAAACATAGATAAACTAACGTACTATAGTCATTAGAAAATCATTCTGTTGAATGATTAAATAGATAATTGGATGCGACAAGTCTAACTTTGCTCATTTTTCATGCATAGGGTTATGAAGGAAGTTTACTTAAAGTAACGAATAAGAATGGTAAAAATTTATCACCTGTCGGCTTTGTCACGTTTGCCAGTCGTGTTGACGCTGAAACTGCTAAACAAGAATTAACAGTAAATTTATTGTTTTTTCTTCTTCTTTTACATAAGAAACAAAAACTATTTATTAGGGCGTTCGTTTTGATCCTGATCTTCCAGCAACACTTCGACTTGAATTTGCTAAATCAAATACAAAAGTACAAAAACCTAAACATTCAACACAAAGTCCATTAGCAAATGCCACTCAACAATACATTCAAATTCCTCGTAAGTGTCTCACATAAGGAAACATTTCAATTCGTAATCCGATTATTTCTTCAGAAGAGCTTGGCACCGCTTTCTTCCCAACTGAATCATGGGGACAACCATTAGCTTTCGATTTAGCTTCCGCTGGTCTTCATCATCAGGCGTTGTTACACACAGCTCTACACGGTCCACCAATGGTAGGTGATCGAAGTTTTTCTTTCTTCTTTAATCTTGAAACAAAAAATTCATAGCGAAACATTGTATTCTTTAAGTTCTTGAGATGCTAGCCATTATTATTTAGTGTAAGTATCGATATTAGCTAATCGATCACAACAACCACTACCACAAATTGTGTCAAAATGGATGCAACAATGTGTTTTTTTGTTTCTTTTCTTCAAATCATATTTCAATATGAACAATAATATCTATTAATATACACTAATAAAATGAGCATTCAAAACTTATTTTTCACCCACTATCATGCGTGAAAACGATATTGTCTTCGATAGTAAGCGCGCGCAATATAAACAAATTACTCACAATTTTGCTTGGCACACCAGTTTATGACATAGATTTATGCGTTTGGAAATATAATAATAGCGAGAAGTTTGGTTTTAATTCTTTTTTTTTGTTTTTTGTTTATTCCATAGGGAATGGGCCATCCAATGCACGGAACCGCAGCTATGACTCAATTACAACAATCAAATCAAGCCGTTGCTGTTGCCAATGGACAAATGAACGGCGGATGTTCAACATTATTTTTAACTGGAATTCCTGAGCATGATTTTAAAAATATGTCATTTGCTCTGTAAGTGTCTTTTTTGTAATTGTAAAAATAATGTAAGAAAAAAAATCACACGAGTTTTTATTTTGTTCTCCTTTAAAAGACCAGGCAAAGCTCTTTGACAATCAGCATGTGATTCACATGATGATTCATCATCAAACAATGATAAACAAAAAGTTCTTTCTGCTCTTAATAATCAACAACAGATGTTATTAAAACGAACAATTGATGAGAATATCGATAATGATAATCACTTGAAACGTCTACGACAGTGATAATATTTGAATCTCATGTTGAATCACAAACGCTGTCCTTTCTTTTTTCTTTTCTTTTCTTTTCTTTTCTTTTTTTGTATAGTGTATGTAAGGCAACATTTATTGGTATATGTATTTTGTTTTTGTTTTTTTTCTTATTCTCCGTCCATTTATGAGCTGCATTTTTTTGTTGAGACTTTTTTTTGTTTGATTTTGTAAAAGAGAAGAGAATATGAAAAAGAAAATGGAAGATTTTCAATGTTCCGAGGATGACTCGTTGGCTTGTAAGATTTGGTTATGCGTCGATTTTATCCATCGATCAGATGTGGATACATAATCTAGATTCAGTTCTGTACGAAGTCGTCCAAGTATATTAATTTGATTTGCAGATGATAGTAAATTATCTCCTATTCTATCAACATCTTGATGTATATTGCCGATGAAGGTCGTCGTGCAAGACGATTAAGTTCAGGCTTAATTCATTTACTTTCTTGTTTGACAATCGTTTCGGAAGCGTTTCATAGGTGACGTTCTTGCTTGACAACACATGAGCAAAACAGTAGTTAATTCAAGTATATCGGATCGTGGATTTAAAGTCCCACTGATGATACACATCGGATAATGTTGTCTGTTGCTCTCGTTTACGTACAAAAACGAGGAGATTTAATCTTTGTTATCAAATACGTGCGCAGTATTTTCTTTTTATGATCTCTTAAATTTTGAATCAGCCTTGCTGATATAATACCAAAAACGAATGTATCAGAATAGCTGATTCAAAAACATTTCGGCAGCTTTCAAAAATAATTTACAAAATTCAAGTTGTAAGCAAATGATAGTTTGATAGAGAATAATATGTAAATCAAAACAGTTTTATTTATTTTTTAGCGAAGTCGTTTTTCATTTTGAGTGAAAATAAAATAAACGTCAACGTTTACTCGATACTTATGGGACGTCAAATTCACTTGAATAAATATTTACTAGAAAAAAATTATAGGTTTTCCTGCTATTCTAATCTTTCAATTCAGATCCTGTAGATTACTGTTAGCTGCGGTTGTCCAACATCGACTTCGAGAAAACAATGTATATCATAGACACCTTTTCTCTTCGCACGAAGCCTTTTTAAACACTTTCATCATGCAGTGTTAGTTTTCTTATTTAATCAAAACAGCGATTGTAATTGTTGCATGCCCAAGGATGTATTATTACCGGTTTGTTGTTTTACTGAAGCCTAGAAAAGAAATGAACGGTTTCTCTTTTCAAGTCACATGAATGTCTTCCAGCTAGAAAAATAGCGTTTAGAAAATAAAATTCGTCGGGAGGATTATTGTTTTTGTTTCTACAAAGGTGACCAATGAAAATTCTCAAATTGTTTCACTTAAAATCATTGTTAAAAGTCGAAGCAATGGTCGTGATGGTGTCGATTTTGTTATTTTTTCATACTTTCAATTGTTGTTATTGTTGATACCTTTTTTTCTTTCTCTCTCTCTCTCTCTCTTTTCTTCCTCTCGTTGCGAACGAAATACAGTCCTAAAAGATGTTAGATATTAGAAGCTTTGCATTAAACCAATACCAATATCACATTTATCATAATCATTCAGAAATCCACGACGATCTATTGTCGTGGCTTGCCACAGTTCCGCTCTCGCGAGCAGTGTGGGACGTAGGAGAAGACTTTGCTGATGGTGTTCTAGCTGCTGATATTATCTATAATTTTTTTCCGCAATTAATCGATTTGGCGAAAATTCATGTACCTCGAAATATGTCCCAACGTACGGGTAATTGGCATTATTTAAGGACCGAAGTACTACCGAAGATAGGTTTGCAGCTACCTCAGATGATTACGGTTGATATTACCAATGGAGTTCATCGTGCTGCTGAATTGTTTCTTCTACAATTACGAGAAACAATTCAGGGACATCTAATGCGTGCTCGACAAGCATCACATCAACAATCGAATTCAGGACGTTCGTACATTGGCGGACAAAATCGTTTACCACAACTTCAAACGACAGCAAGACAAGGTGCTATTCTACCTGGCATTAATGGTGCCAACCAGTCTGGCATTAATGGTGCCAATTACTCTGTCACTAACGGTATGAATCACTCGATCGTTAATGGTCCCAATAAATCTGGTATTACAGCTCTCAATTTGACTGGTATTAAAGGTGCAAATGGATCCAGTAATATATATTCTAACCGTAATGGCGATTCTCTTGATCCATCTTTGGCGCCTTGTAAAGAAGCATTACGTATCAAAGACGACGAACTCACTGCACTGCGAGAAAAAGTAAAACTGTATGAAAAATTGCTCCGGGAAAAAACAAAACTGCACGAAAAGCAGCTGCGAGCTAAAGATATTCGAATTCGAGAACTGGAATCCCGACTTGAAAAAGAGAAGAACAAACGATCGTAGGAAAAAATTAATTCACAACATAAAACACTTTAAATTTCACGATGACGTAATGATTGATCTGTATTCTTATATAAAAATCGAAGTTCATTTGACAAAAACAAGAGAGAATTTTATACAACTAGGAATTCTACTTTAACTTCTCTAAATTGACTGGTTGTAAAAACATGATCGATATTGAGTCTAGATTCTAGACTCTGGTTAAAATGCAATGCTAGTAGAAGATATGTTGATAAAGTACAATAACGATGATTTTCTTTTCTTATCTCGTGACATTGTTAATTTTGAGAATAAAAACTACAACATTCTTATTAATACTTGTCAACGTCAATGTGGATTAATTTGGAAGAAAAGCAGCGAATATGATTTGATTCCTGTTTCACTACAGATTAAGCTTAAATAACTCATAAAAACACGATATAATATTTTCTATGCATCCTACTTGGAAAGAATAGAATGTAAGTGATACCTTGAAAGCGGTTCGAAATAGTTTAGAGATTTCCTAATTGTTTTCTACCGATTCGTTATTAGTGACCTTCAATTCAGTTCCACTGAAATTTTCATCTGAGTAATCTTTCTTCGAGTTGTATTTCAAAATCAGATTTCAACCGTTCTTAGAGATACGACTGAATTGTTTATCAAAAACTAAAATACTTTCACATCTGGCGAGAATACAATACAAACTTGACAGAAATAGAACCGCAACCATGTTGACGTCTTGCTAAGTGAATATTATTCAACGATATTACGGGTATCCTTCCGTCGAATAACAGATACTCAGCAATTTTTCGCATACGCATATATACAGTGAAGTGCTTTCGAAAATTAAATTACATGCTTTGAAAATCCTAATGAAATCTCAACTGAATACAATATATTGACTTTGCCACTTATTTAAGGTTTATTTAGCCCTCTATCGGTGACAAGGTTTGAATGAATATTGAGGTTAATTAAAAGAATTTTATGAACAGCGTTGAGTAAACATACTAAATTCATATTCTTGATATTGATTTTTTCAATTGTTGTTTCAGTGAAATACCCCGAACTGTCAACTCATTTTTCAGTACAGATCTCACAGAAAAAAATTGATACAATGTTTTACTTCTAACGTCAATCACTTGAGGAACAATAAATTTTCACTACAATACTGGCACAGAAAAGATGTCATCAATACTGGTTGAACACAATTCTATGTACATTATTGCTGTTTCTTACTTTCGAAAAACAGTATTGTAAAAATTTGCATTTGAAAAACTGTAGAAAGTATTACACCATCATTTCACATCTTTTTCAATCAATGGCGGCTGAGCCACTGAGGCCCATAATATGAAAACAAAATATTTTATTCAAAAAAACTATTTGATTGATTATTAATTGATCTACTTTATCTCAAACATCATTCCCAAAGTTTGGAAACTTTTCACATTGTCAACATGGCTTTTGGGGTTAGTTTGTTTTTCGTTATCCATGACGAGGACCAGGGGTGAAAATCTGACCGAAAACAAAAGTGGTAGAAATAATTAAATCGAATTAGACTTTGTGCTTAAAACAAATATAATATTTATATTCAGTCGCAAAGGAATTATTCTGTTTGAAACTATCAAGTATCAGTCAAGCAATGGCAAAAATTCGATTCCAACACTAGTATTGCAGCGAAAACGTTTCACATTACAAGGAGTTTTATTAGAAAGAGCACATTCAATTACGTATTCGGTAAGAAAATCTTCCTGGTTAACTTCGAAAAACTACACTTTATAAAATTGAGAATAGCATTATTTCTAACTGCATGACGCAATCGGGGCAGTATTGAGCATTTATCGATAAAACAAAACTTGAATATTTAAGCCGTTCTTATATACTCTGATAGGCAAAAACATTCTGTATCGAAGGGGTCTATTTTCAAACAGTATAAAACGAATATTCATGGACCTTTGGGTCAATAGCTATTTTTAAGTCTTCCCGAGAGTGCTTCATATCTTTCTTAGTAGCCAATGAATTTTAAAATCTAAGATGATATTTGTGATCAGGAAACTTAACTTTATCGAAATATAACAACTCGCACTAAAATTAGAATAAAACGTTTTTTCGATCCTTGAGGGGTAGGTACCCCAGATGTTAAAAATTGATTTTTCATAAAATACACAGTAAACTCCTGGAAAATAATCGGAATTCAATGATGACTCTTAAGTTAATAACATTAAGTGCAGGTTTTTTAGTGGTCAGGTTTCTAATTTGGCACACCTCTGATTTGATTATGGAATTAGTGTATTCAACATGATTGTTGAAAAACAATGAGTTTAACAGAGAATTAAGCCATCCTGTCGTATACTACTCCTTTATTTTTCTGTAGCTTTTCAACAACTACTAACATCTTTAGCACCTTCAGCACTTTGTAGTAAATTTTGGTGCTTGGAGCCAGCACTTTCCCCCTTGTACCAGACTCTACGAAAAAGATGACATAAAAACAAGTTGCATGCAACCCCATGTGCTTAGTTTTTGTTTCTTACTTTCAAACAGCAGTAGTGTAAAAATTTACATTTATAAAAGCATAGAAAATATAACACCATCATTTCACATCTTTTTCGACGATAGGAAAAAACGGTCTATTGTACTACCAGCACGTCGTTTTGCTATTGGTTTTTTCATGCCCTATCCGACTAGGAAGAAAACGTTTACTCACATAAATATCGTGCAGCCTCACCAGTTTTTTGAGTCATAAAGTACAGAAAAGATTTTATGCACCACATTCATTTTGATGGTTGTTTGTGTGTGACGCATACCGTCCATAAAAACGCGTTGTCTTCCTATCAGAAAGTAAATAAATCTACTAGACGCTTACAACATCGTATGCAAAAGGAAGGGCTTATTCATTGACTAATCTTGTTTGAGCCAAATGCAGTCATACAATATTACGTTTTCTTGCAATATTCGAGAATGCTTGTCATTGAATTTCATTCTACTCTAACATCATATTTTCTTACTTTTAGATTCAATTAAAGTATGGCTACGAATACGGTATGATATTGAAATTTCATTGATTGATATGTTCTGAAAATATTTATTTTTCTAAGCAGACGGATCCGAAAATCGCTGAATTTCGTGAATTGTTATCTAAAGCACGTTCAATATTGGTCTTGACAGGTGCAGGAATTTCTGCAGAATCTGGTGTTCCAACATTTCGAGGGGAGGGTGGTCTCTGGCGACAATTCAATGCAACGGTTTGTTTTTATTTTTATCCGAAATAATACTGTTCTATGGATTGCTTTGAATTTCTAGGATTTGGCGACACCAAGTGCTTTCGCTCGGTCAACGTCACTCGTTTGGGAATTCTACCATTATCGACGAGAACTTGTTCGAACAAAAGAACCCAACAAAGTATTCAGATTCGAAATTTGGTTGTTTGTAAATAATTTCTTTTAGGGACATTTAGCATTGGTCGAAGCTGAAGAACGCTTTGAGAAAGAAGGAAAACACTTTTTTATCCTAACACAAAATATTGACGGTTTGCCATTTGTTCTTGAGAGAAGCATCGATTTCTATTTTCTTTTGGCATCGATCAGGACTTCATCGACGAGCAGGTTCTCGTAATCTCCTAGAAATACATGGTTAGTGAACATTTGAATGACTGATTTTTATGATGCGAGTGTTTTTCTTAGGAAATCTTTTTACAGTACGATGTACATCATGTGGGTTCATTGAAGAGAATAATGATAGTCCGATTTGTGAAGCACTACGAAATCGAGGGTAAACCTATTTCTTGTTTTCTTTTACAGTCATTGTGTTGATTTCTATGAAAAAAGTTTAGATTGCCCAATGAGACTGGTTCTGATATTCCGTTGAAAGATCTACCTAGTTGTCGTCAATGTGGATCTCTCGTTCGTCCTCATGTTGTCTGGTTCGAGGAATGTCTTTGGCCGGATGTTCTGAAAAAGATTAATGAAGAAATCACACAATGTGATCTATTTTTAGTTGTATGTTAACTGCTATTTGTTTTATCTCTTTGACTCATTTCTACAGAATTAATTAAAGGTGGGCACATCAGGTATCGTCTATCCAGCCGCAGGTTATGCTTCGATAGTCGCACAGCGAAAGGTTCCTGTAGTTGAAGTGAATATTGAAAAGACTCCTGCTACTTCTACCTCGACGTGAGTTGTTTTTTCACTTTTCTTTTCATATTTTCACTTTCTCTTTCTAGTTTTTATTTCGAAGGTCCTGCTGGTGAACTACTGCCAATGCTATTGGCACCCATAAAAACTGATGCTCCGTCGAATAAAACATTGCCGTTGAACGCAAAAACAAGAAAATAATACCGAACATTAAACGCTATTTTTTTAATGAAAATTATCTGAAAAGACGCTTTATTTTGTTGTATTTTTTCGAGGAAAAATGAAGAAAAAAATTTGATACTGTCCTGCCATAACTGTTATTTCATTGGGATTTTGTTGCTGAACATATAGATTAGACTAGGCAAATTGAGATAATTAGTTAGTATAGCAGAACCAATGGATTGCTTTTCGCTTGTCAAACTCCAGCGTTATCAGAGTTGTGAGACAAATGTTATGAAAACATCTACGATAGTGATACTATTTAAATCTCATGGTGAATCACAAGCACTGCCCTTTCTTTTTTTCACTGTGTACTGAAGGTAATATTTATTGATATTTACAATTTGTTTTCTTATTCTCTATGCTTTTATGAGCTGCGGTTGGTTTTTTTTTGTTTGAAAAGAAAAAGAGCGAAGAGAATATGAAATATTTTATGTAATTGAAGGCTCAGATGAAGCTGGAAAAAATTGTGTTGCTAATATACTTGGGCGACTTGTTGGCTTATAAAAATAGGTTAAATATGGATTTTGTCGTTCATCGGATGAGGATATTTCATCAAGATTGATTTCTGTAAGAGGTCTTGCGAGTGTAGTGATTTGATTTGCAAATGATAATAAATTTTCTGTTGTTGTCTCCGAATCTTGGCGTGTTGTTGATGAAGGTCTTCCAGTCAGACGTCGAAAATATCGTCGAATGACTAGTTTACGTGTATTCCATGGCATTTGCTCGTGAGATTTCGATTGATTCTCAAGAGCTTTCCAGCGTTCCAGTGTTTGCGGATCAAAAGATGAACGACGTCGAGGTAACGAAGGTTCTTCAATAGTCGACAGCTTTGCAGTCATTTGCCGAGCGGCTGTGCGGCTAAGAAAATAGTCTTTTTCAGTGTCTGATGCAAATAATGCTTCGTTTGTTAGTCGTCGATTACGTTTTAGAGTTGCTAGTTGCTTTTCAATATGACGAATGCGAACTGTTTCAGCATCAGTTAATTTACTTTTTCTTTCATCCTTTGTGCCCAAATAAATTTCCCATAGGCGAGCTCGTTTTTGTTTATCGGCTAATTCTTCTAAATAAATCAACATGAAGGATGTGAGTCCACGATAATTACTATTTGCATGTCTGAAAGTTTCAAATGATGACGATTCATATCCTACTGATAAATAGTCCTATACCTGTATCGGTTCAATCTGATTGGTTGATACATTTTAAGAAACATTCTATAGACCATTTGCAGCTTTTATCGAAGATAATAACGTACTGAAGCACATTTTCTTGTTAAGGGCTTCAATTATGATTTTTACCTCTAGCTTTCATTGTATTCATTTCTTAGATAGTATACGATGGAAGAAAACAACAGTCTATTCAAGTGAATCGAAGCAAGAACCTTTCTTTTTTATTGTATTGCTATTTACGATGAGACACCTGATAATATTTTCTGCATCTCTCGTTTAGTCAAAAATACCTCATGGCTGTTATAGATGTAACAAACAGCATATTATTTGTCTTTTACGAAGAGATCTAATCGACTGTGAGAAACCTTAATCTAATGAATTTACCTAATATTTCCTTTGTGTTTGTATGATCTCTTAAATTTCGAATGAGTTTTTTCGTTCGACGTCTTGCTGCTTCTTCGATAATTTCCGATCGTGCTTTCATTTGCATTCCTAACATAAATATAATACCAATGGAATACCATAGAAGCACAATGATAATATATATCATAGCGCCAGTGTTATCATAACCGGCTGTGGCTACTGCTGTTGATATTGTTGTTGCTGTTGTTTCAACAACAGTTATTGTACTATTTTGAATCATTCTAGAGTTTTAAATGCAAGTAATATTTTTCTTCAAGCAGAAACTATAAATCAAAAGTCGATTGAAAATACATTGACATACCTGTTTTTATTTGAAATGATAAATGAAGAATGCTTATTCAAACTAGAGATACAAGTGTGTAATATTTACACATCTATTAAAATAAGAAAAAAAAAATCAGTTTTCTCTTGATCTTTTCAATATAATTTATAAAACGTGAATCGAACGCGTCTAATCATATTTTTTCCCTTCTTATATGCAAAGCGGAATAAAATTGGCCTCGATGTGAGAAAAATGGCACATGACAATAAAGCAAAAAGTCGAGCTATTGATTCAAGATGATCGTAAAAAAATTGTTATTCTCTTCACAGTAAATATATTTTAAAGCACAAGAACTATGCTAGCTGTTATCCAGGACTTTCGATATTCTTTTGTAAAGAGATTTTCGTTGGAAATCATGATTCAACATATTTCTGTCACGAAAGCGTTTTTATCGGTTCAATCAGTGGTGATGATTCATGGAAAATAATATTTGAATTGATTTATAAGCATTCTATTTGATTGTCATCCTACATGTATCCTATCAATTACTCATAGAAATGTTCTTCGTTGGGAATATAACTCAAAACACATGCATCTTTGTAAGGTAAATATTTTTCGAAGCAATATATTTACACTCGGCCAGAGTTCTGTGTTTCTACTATCAACAAGGCCGATGAGTAGAGAGAACTTCATTTTGATTTGTATGAATTTTTTTCCTCATGCATATAGCCTTTTATCCGCGTACTATTTTCAACTTATATTGATGCCAGATGGCGGTAATAGCGTGATTGTCAATAGACATGATGCTTTTCATCATTGGTACTTATTGACGTGAATTTCATGCAGCGCACATCATAAATATGTTTTTCGCAATGAAATTCAATCTATTGGTAATTTGAAAATCGCTGAACAAATATTTTCATTCTTATATATATATACACTCATACACTTGATACGTCGAAATCTATCCGTATCTTGTTGTATATCATCTATTGTTTCTCTTTTCTTAACAACTACAAATACAATGAATATCATGCTTTAGGCAGGATGTTGTCCGTTACGTTTCTTTCGAATAAACTCCAAACAGCGTAATAAATACAGTAGAGAGTAATTGCTCTCATTTTTCATGAAATTTATATCGGTTTACTACTCATTCTAAATGCTTTTTGTAAACCTGAACACGATATTCGAAGAATATTCAAACACCGAACGAAATATTCTAATTTCAGTGTTGCTTGATTTCACTGTGATAAATCGCCAATGATATACATTATGTATTAGATGCTGAATTACTTGTGGAAAATGCTGTCATGTGTCTGATTCTGTTGCATGGCTAGGTCGTAAACAAATAATATGGTTATTAACGAGAATAGGAAAAAAGCGAAGGCTTATTTTTTCTGTTTATTCTATAGACAACATTTCTATCTTGGTATGATAGATCTTATACATATACTTTGAGATTTTTTTTCTCTCGCATAGTATTGTTTTCTACAAGAACTACTTGATTTCTATGAAGACACTGCGTATATGAGATAAAGTTATGCGATTAATCAGTGGCTGGTTCAAACAATAAAAGCGAATTTCAGGTGCGCTTTCTTACACTTATTTCGGCGTATTCAAACCAATGACATTCAGCTATTCTATTTTTCTATTATTGACTTATCAAATACCGTGCGTTTGGACATCTCAATGTCATCATTGCAATGCGAAAACTTTCAATCATCTCATTACAATTGACGATCTTCCGGTTGCAACTGAAGACGATTGTAATGTAATACGAACTACTTATGGCTGCTCGATACATATTGATTGGCTTGCAGACGGTACAACTGAAGTATATTATGATATAAAGCCATCGCTACCCTACGGTAGTATATTAACAATTACGGAACATCAAGTCGATTTTGACACCGGCAATTACTCGACTCGTAGATCTATTTATTATAGTTGTAAATCGAAAACGACAGCTTGTAATACAATTGCTGATTTGCAACGTGCAATCAATGCAATAGAATTTCCTACAGATGAGCAAATAGAGCAATTTAATGCTTTGATTGCTCCGACGCAAGATTTCGATGGTAGCTCCTGTTTCCAATTATCAAATGCAACAAGTTGTTCGACTACTAATTGGACTAATTGCCGACAGTGTATGATTACTGGCCACTATTCTGAGCAATTGGATGTTTGTTCAACATGTAGACCTAAAAGACATACAAGAAATTTTTTTTCTTTTGAAACAACATTCTTGTTGAAAGAGAAATCGCAATCGGAACGAATAAAAATTGTTTGTCAAGGACGTAATAACTGTAATTCATTAGAGAATATCGAACGTATTCGACGAAAGTTACCGACACAATTAGATTTCATGAAATTTTATCGCTCGACTGCATCGACAATGAAATTAACCTTTGCATTTTTATTTACGACGTTGTTCACTTTATTGTCTTCATGAATTGATCATATTTTTCTAATAAAACCATACGCTGATTTTTAGTTCAATGAACAATTTAAGAATGGAAAAATCTTTATTTTCTAGAACCTCAATGTCCGGATCCCGAAACGATCTTGTTAACATTTATCAGTGAAAAGTTTTTCTAAAGTAAATTGTTTTTTTTTGTTGTGGGAAACAAAAAGGTTACAACTGTTGGTCTATTTAAAGTATCAAATGAACGAGATCAATCTTTTAAGAGCATTATATCAGAGATAAATATTATTATTCAATAAAACGTTTATAATGAAAAGAAACCAATCGACATAAATTGATTGCTTTTGTTTTTTGTAATCAAAGAGTCGAAATTGTTTATTTACATGGATCTTCTTTTAGTATTGTGATATGCTCTAGATAGGTGAGTATCATAGTGTCAGTGCTTGATGAAGGTTTATTTAAGAGAAAAAGTGTTTCTGTGAGCTTTTTCACAAAATTACTCTCTAATGATTAATACAACGGCTCATATACGAATAAAGTAATGAGTAGCATCTAGTTGTATTTTAGATTATTGAGTATCATATCATTTGAACGATCAATGGATAAACGTCTAGCTATGGATTTGCAAGAAATGCAACAAGAATTAATTGCAATTCGTCATGATATTCATGCCAATCCAGAATTATCTATGCAAGAAGCACGCACATCAAAGCTCGTCGCTAGAAAACTCAAACAATATGAATTTATTGTCACCGAGGAAGTTGGTACATTGGAAAGTGTACCCCCAGGTGATCGTTTGATTGCATTACGCGCTGATATGGATACTCTAAAGTTAGTTGAAGAAAGTAATGTTTCCTATACTTCTACAGTACCAGAAGTCATGCATGCTTACGGACATGATGGACATACTGCAATGCTACTTGATGCGGCAAAGTATTTAAGCAATCATCGTAATTCATTTTTTGGTACGGTTTATTTCATCTTTCAACCTGGTGAAGAAAAACTCGAAGGCGCTGTCGCGATGATGAACGATCAATTATTTGAACGATTCCCATTCGATGTTATCGATGGACTGCATAATTCATCAGGTAAACCTATCGGGACATTTAATATACGATTTAGTCCGATGATGGCTGCATCTGATCGTTTTCTTGTGACATTTCAAGGTACCGATGGACATGGAGGCGCGTATTCACACTTAGCGATGGATGTTACTGTTTTACAAGCTCAATTTATTTTAGCACTACAAACTATCGTAAGTCGAAATATATCACCAAATAATGCAGCTGTAATTAGCGTTGGTGCAATTCAAGGAGGCTCCTTTAATTCACTTAATGTTATGCCATCAGAAATTCGTATTGGTGGCATTACTAGAAGTTTTACAAAATTAGTTCGTGATATAATCGAACGGCGAATCAAAGAACTTGTTCATGGTTTCGCTCAAAGTTTCGGCTGTACGGTTCAAATAGAATATAATCGATTGGGGTGCAGCACTTGTTAATCATGATGAAGAAACAGCACGACTCGTCACAGCAGCTGAATCATTGGTCGGCAAAGAACACGTCAATGCAAATGCAACACCATTCACATCTGGAGAAGTTTTTGCTTAGTTTCTGAGAAAAAACCTGGTGCTTACACGTGAATGGGTAATGGGATAGCTGGTGGCGCATTACATTCGCCAACCTATATTTTTAATGATGAAAGTATTCCTTTTGGTGTTGGCTATTGGATTAGTCTAGTTCAGCAAGAACTTAAGCCTTGAGTTCTATATAATAATTACTGTCTTATCTGACAAAAAATCAATCATAGAACAGAAAAAATGGAAATTTTTGTAGTTCTTTATTCATCGAAATATCCAACAACTGTGATATGTATTCATACATTTTCCATTACTGGCACCGTATTAAGAAAATTGAAAGTCTTTTTATAGCAGTCTTTCTTTGAGATTTCTAGAAGAAGTTTCGATCAGAATCAGGGTTGTCACCTGATGAACTCTAAAAAGCGGAAGCTTATATTGTTGCATATTTGTAATGCTTCTGAGAATATTAGGTATTTTTTCATATTTATTGTATTTCTTTTTATTTCATCAAAGTTTCAAAACATATAAAATGAGGGTTCACGGTATTTGTAAACAATACGAATTGATCCAATAATATCAAAATATTATTCTGTACGTATGTTTGATATGCAACATGTTTTATACGAAAAAGCGGAAGAGGTGGCAATCCTGATCAGAATCGATGATTCATAGAACGAAATTTTGTTGCACAAACGTCATGCAATTAACACGCAATCTTAAACAGAATACATTCAGCGTGTGCTCATACATTCATCCGGTTTTAAAACACACCGATAATAAACAGATCCCTTTGATGGTATTTTCTCAGGATCTTCGTAAATATAGCTCGTGTTATCAGCGATAAATTCATGCTTAAAATCATGAAGAGATTTTATAAAAGCATCGGCATCTCCTTTCGTTGGAACGTTCTTGTAGGACGAATAACGAAGAAGAACATAAGTATTTCCAATGTTCAAGTTGTACACTGTAACTATACCATCCATCTCTATTGGATCTTCATTGAACGCCAGATTGGGTTCATCCCATTTCGACACTGCTAGACGAACAGGAACTGTTACTCGATCTTCGTCGACAATCCCCGTAATCGCAATACCATAAGTAACCTTTAAAGTGTACAAGATGATTCAGTTTCAAGAGAATATAAGAAGAAATGGATTCTATCTCATTTATATATAGGTATGTGTTTAGTGTGCTCGAAATGTGACCTGTTTTCTTCTTCTTACAAAGATGAATGCAAATGTAAAATATATCTACCTCACGCTTGGAGAAAACAATACTTACTTCTAATGGTATGCGTCCGTCGCAGGCGTTCTTCTGTCGAGAAATCGTTTTTCTCGTTGAGCCCATCTCATCTTCACTTAAAGACCCTTCAAATTTCCTGGTAACATAGAGATCGTAATAGATTATAGTATCATCTGGGTCATATTCATTCCTATTTTTGTATCGAATACCGACAGCTGGAACAATATGATCATAATCTTCGGAGTCCATATCCGGAAGAAAGATACCGAACATGACGGGGTGTCTTTGCAAAATAGATCGTTTCATCCAACGACAGAAGTACCGAAATTGTGGCTGAGGAGAATTCATCCAGTCCCATTCATTGTACGTAAAATGAAAACGAGCAATAGTGCGAATTGGATCGCGTCGATCGTCAGGTGATAATTGCTGCAGAAGAAATTCACCTTTGTTGATGTCACGAATCAGACCTTGCGAAAGCCAAGCACCATAGAAAAGACCTACATATTGTATGTTGTGAATCACAGATTATTTGAATGTTATACTCTTGAAAAAAAACTCCGCCTTAGCAAAGTCAGACAAACGAGCGCTTTAGGGATATTCGCAGACTTGCCACGAAAATTCGATTGTGCAACCACATCTCTATAATCGGGGATTGCAAAGACTTAGAATCTAGCCTTTGTTGATATGTGAGTGCAGCCAATAATAAATTACAATCGAATTTGGGTGATAACTTACCGATAGACTGAAGAGCTGTTTCACCGCAATACCCATTTCCATTGTCCCACTGCAATCGCGGTGGGATATCAAGCAACATGGTCTGCTGAGAAGGTAATTTCTCTTTCTTACTTTGTGCATTTGTTTTGGCCATTAGATATTCTATTTGAATTTGACTGCAAGATCAATTACTAGAACAGAAAATATCATGCAACGGTAGAAAAGGTAAGAACAGGTAGTTCTGAATCTGGCGAATATGCATAAATTGGTCAGCTTCGTAATAGGGATTATATTCTCAAAAGTTCATTTTTGTTCTCGACTAATACATTCACGATTTTATACAAAACACAAATAAGAACATGTATGAAGTTGTGTGAATTAAATCATCTTCTGTAGTAGCAGGATCTCTGATTTTGAAACAAGAGGATATTTATTGTATGAGTTTATTAGTTTGCAAAATAATTCCGTTAAATATTGTAAGATTGCTTATGCTCACTTTTGTCTATTTATACATGTAGCTTTTCATACCTTCTCTAAAATCTTCGGCTATACAAAATGAAGTGATTTATCTTTGAAAACTTAACCATAAAATAGAAGGCGATCGAATTCTCGCACTTGCGACAGGCAATCTTACGTTGATATACTATCTTCAGAAACGATGACTGTAAATGATAAAAATTCGAAAACATATATTTCGAAATTACGATGAATTACGACATAGCCCATGAGTCATGTGAATTTTTCCTTTGCTGCAATCAGCTGTGTGTTGTGGGTGTGAGGATCTGAATATACAAGACAACCCACACCCACGTTCAACTTTTATCAAAATAAATTCCCGCTTATTATTTCTGACTTCATTGAAATTTTGTTAAATTTGAGATTTGCAATAGTAAATTAAGAGTCATTTGTCCATTGGATTCTGTGCAAAGCGCTGCATGGCGGCGACGACAATGTATGTTGGCGGTCAATTTTATGTATGAGTGAGATCGCAATTAATTTACTTCAGACATCGCACTCTTACGCATGGCCTCCTCTCGTAGTTAAAGTCGAAATACTAACTTAACAAGCATCCTTATAAAAATAAACTAATGTATCGTGTGAAAAAGGACTATTCATCACGTGTGAGAACTCAAATTATCTGCTAAAAAATACCTTGATGGTAAAACACGTATGAGCTTTTTGAAAAATTTAGGTTTTCATTCAATATTCTGATTAGTATATTTTTTTGAAGGCTTAGTAGTATTACGTGAAATCCTCCATGATTCTGTAAGACCCTTTTTTTCTCTATGTCATTTGATTTGCTCTTCTCAATTCAATGTGGCTACGAATGACGTCATATGACGAACGAAATACTTATGAATCAATTCCGTTTACGAGCGTTAAAATATTTTTTTCGTTTCGAATAGTAAACGCAGCCAATAGTTCTTCAATTTTTCGATGGTAAGAAGAGAGCCAATCATGTTATTAATAAAAATTGGATTCGTCGTGTAATTGTGAGAAACTATAATATCATTATACGTGCACGATTGACACCATATAAAATGGACCTTTAGTGGAGAGGACCAATCACATTTTCTAGTGCAACAAAATGTTTAAAACTTATATTATTGCTATCCTTTCCATAGATGTCATATAATACCTTTCCACCTGCTATCAAGGCTTTTACGTCACAATACCCTATGCAACAATAATTTATGGAGTATCCATTCTTAGTGCATCTATAATATGATGTAACCACATTAAGCGTATCCAGTTTTGGGTATCCACATATATATAAATGTGGATGCACCTAATGTGGATGTGCTAAAAGGTCGTTACCGAGTGTAAGGATATTATGACATCACTCATCCTTTCACTTTTGTTCTATTATGCAAGACCGGTTGATGGTAAGTGTTTCACTTTACAGTTGCAAGTATCATCAGATCACTTTTTCACTCTTTATTCATAATCGTAGCATTCATCATTTTTTAAAATAACTTTCCATGGAAAGAAGTCATACCATTAATCTTTTTCCCAAGAACTTAATCTGCTAGTTATGTTCCAATACTATTATAATCGAATTCGCCAGAGAGCTCAACAGGACAAATAGTTTTTTTTTACAGGTAAATATAGCACTTCTTTTATGGCTTTGCTCGTCGAGTTCTTCCATTTTCAGTTTAGATCTTACAATAGTTTCTCATTCTTAGGTCAGTCTTGCTTATCATATGTTGGTAACGATTATATACATAAAATCAGCACCAAAGTCTACAATTATGAGCCAGCATACTACACGGAAAGATGTTACGACGCTACTATGCAGTTAATGGATAGCATATTTATGAAATCTTCAGTATTAGCGTTGGTTCATCCAATATTTTCGCTGTACACTAGTGAATATCTAGACGAATGTACTGCATTTCCAATATTCAGTCGTTTTATCTAGGGGTGCACCAATTCGAGTCAATTCAATTCCTAAAATTGGTCGGAATTGGTCTGGAATCGGTATAGAATTGACTCTAAATGAGTGTAGAATTAACTGAAATTGACGGTACAATTGATTATTCTTGGCTAGCAAGTTTTTGGATTTGCCAAAAATAAAATAAAGAAAATGGGATGCATAAGGCCTTAGATCTGAAACTCGAGATTTTTATGATAAAAGTTACAATCCGAGTCACAATTAATAGCATATTTGGAATCAGCGCAAAAAACTGACTAGAACAGTGTATACTTTAAATACTTTTAGCGACTCTTTTTTCTACCGAAAAGCCACCTGGGGTACTCCTCAGGGTTCAGTCCAATAATGAAAAATTACTATTTTCTAGTGCTCAGGCACGTGATTTTTCCTATATTACTAAGCTTTTTACATGCTCCACAGTTAATTACTGCTGTCCAAGCTACTTTCTGATTAGTTTCATTTTTTGGCTGAGCCCTGAGGGGTACCCCAGGTGAATTTTTGGTAGAAAAAAAAGTTGCCGAAAGTATTTAAAATATATGCTGTTCGAGTCAGTGTTTTGCGCTGATTCCAAATATGTCATTAATTGTGGCTCGGGTTGTAACTTTCATCAAAAAAATGTCGATGTTCAGATTTAAGGCTTTATCATAGATGTCCATGGCGATGCTGCCGCTGCCGTCACGGCGTTAGCGGCAGATTTTCACCCGTAATGGACATCTATGGGCCTTATGCGTCACATTTTCTTTATGGGAAATTCAAGCACTTGCTAGTCAAGAATAATCAATTGTACCATCAATTTCAGTTAATTCTATGCTCATTTAGAGCCAATTCTATACCGATTTCAGACCAATTTCGATCAATTCCAATCCTAATTCCAATTCCAATTCCAGCTCCAATCGATTTCAACCAATTCCAAGTCAAGAATTGGAATTGGAATTGCTGCATCCCTCGTTGTATCAAATTAGCTTGTTTCTTGAAAGCAAAATATGAGCAAGCAGAAGACTTTACCAATCATATTAGTGTTCCTAAAGGAAATAAGCAGTATGAAGTGGCATTCAATACTGCCAAGTTACAGTACAAAAGTATGCACGCTATAGAATGTTTGTATGGATTAAAAAGATAATTTCATATTATCCATTCTGAATAGCACATACGATAATACGATACTTTTCAAATTAGATCCAATACAATACGAAATGAAATGCTTACAATTCTTTTCTCAGCGGTGTGGGTGTGTATGTGAAGCGCTTCTAGGGAAATACTGTGGTTATTGAAAAAAAAATACATATATTAATTATATATTGTTTCAACTCGTTCCTAAAAAAAAACGATTTCTTGTTTGTACACCAATAATGCATACTACGATTTGAGTAGATAGTGAAGATTAGGGAGTTGCTTTTGTAATCGGACTGAAGTATGCATATAGATCGATCATGTGAGTTATGTGAATATCAGTTTAATTAACCTTGCAAATGATTGAAAATTTTCGTTTTGCTGGTGTAGAATGACGTAAAGCCATCTGCATGTTGCCCTAACGTTGATTAAAGATGCATTCACACAAGACTAATACAATGGTAACAGTATATAGTGTTCGTCGATTTGAACTTGGACGTTGAATATGAGAAACGAAGTCAACTTTCAAATGACAACATGGAACGTAATAGTACTAACTAGCTTTCGGATATGTTTGGATTAGTTTTATTTGAATTTGGTGCTTTTACCTAGGACGTGATTGAAATGCCTGACTGTCAGATGTTCTATTCCATGAATAGATTCGGAACAGTTTGTCTAACATCCTTTGTGTTTCTTGCTAAAATAGAGTTTAAAACAAAAATCTATTCTTCTTTTATCTCAATGTCGTATGGATTTTTGTTTAAGATACATTTTTATGGCTCCTTATACGACAGGTTTTGTTATCGGATGTTTGCCTTGTGTTAAAAGAATATATAACTTATCGTGCAAGTTACTTGTGTGATGTTTATTGGAAATATAAGACAGTAAAAAAAGATAGGCTATTCTGTATTAAATCTGAAACGACAAAGCGTGCAACCATCAAAAAAGAAGTAAACACTAGTTTTTTCTAGCTTTTTTGTTTGACTACTCTAGTTTAAATTACCAGCAATTAATTACTTTGTATATGTAAGTAATATCTTTGAAAAATCAGTTTGACAGATATTTGAGTTCAGATAGGAATAACGTAGCTTTATTATGTGCAGTACTTTTCTTTGCGAAGTACGAATGTATTGAATTCGTCGGTATTTCAAGCACAATAGAAAGCGACATTGAAATACTTGAAATAAATACATATGACGATATTTTTGTCTGCCGTTCGACTACAATATGTAGAACGCATTTTCAATCTAAAATCCCATCAGCAACTAACAGATGAAAAAACGAGTCTGGATCACATTTTGCACACGACCTTGATCTCTACGATTTCGAATACAGTGAAGCCTCAAACAATTAATCGCACCCAATCACGTGTCTGAAACAAGGTTCAAGAAGATAATTCGCGAATCAAAACTCAAATGTCTAAGACATAATAAGTAGTAGAAACCATAGGTTGTTTATTTATAAATTGGATGACATTAACGAAGAGAGAATCGGTAAATTGATCTAGGCGTCGACGGATTATCATATAGACACATAAAGGTTTTATGAGAGGAGAGCAATATTGCAAACGTATGTACGAATACAGCAACAATTTTATCTTTAATGTCGTATGGCAGATTGGATAAATTATAGGAAGGATAGTTTTAATGGGTTCGGTTTACTATCAGAATATATATTTACACATAGCTATAGCTATGCAAGGCCAACATAGAAATAAAACCAGAAGAGAAAGGCAAGGTAATTAGATAAACAGCAGAGACAGTTTTATATAGACAGATGATATCATGAATCTACTGCATTGGTTAGTTGTTACACAATCTAAGATTAGGATTTTAATAGGACCTACAAGTGCAAAATATGAAGATCATGATTAAACGAATACTTTCCTTAGGATGACCGACAATGGTACTGATTAGAATTATCACGATTTATTACTGATCTTTATTTTTCTACTCGCAGCTACCTTACAGCATTATTTTTTGTGGTTTCCGAGATATTTACATTCGAAAATAACCAAATTTATAGTGAATTGGGGCTCTCCCAATGCAGAAGAGAACAAGATACATCAAGTAAAAGTCTTAAGATTGTTATGCAAATGCAAAGAACGATTATTGATTAATGATGACAGCTGGTTGTCTTTTCTTATTTACTTTCTATATAAATAGAGTACAAAATTTTAAATAAACAATAAAAATAATAGTCATTTTAAATCCAAAAATCGCAATATATACATAATCATCAGGTAATGCAAGTACAATATTCGAAAAGAAACTATCGCTTATAAAAGAATCTATTCCGAATGAACCTGATAATCTCCGAGAAAAGTATTTAATTGCCCTGCTAATTGGATCTTGCTATTTCTAGGTTAACTTTCCTATCGTATCTATTTCTTCTCTCTTAATATCTATATTTCCTTTTCCACAACAGTCGTTTTATGCCTCGGAGAGAGTCAAAGTCGTTTTTCTGCTCTGCTACTCCTAATACATATTACCACATATATATATATATATATATTACACGCAGAAGTTTTCATATCATGTAAATTGTCTGTTATATGCTGAGGAAATTTTTAGAGATTATTCATTTCAATAAAAAAAAATTCAAACTCTTAGTTTGTCTTTCATAAGTCAAATAGAACATACATTCTTTTCTCTTCTACTGACGCTTACGATAAAAAGCAGATGACACACCCGTCACGTTATCTATTTTCAAACCGATACTATTCTAGATAAATTCATCACAAAGAAAAATGATATTCTTCAATTGTTTTGGATTAATTCTTATCGTTCACGCTAGATACATTCTCGGAAATGTATGTCATGAATGTAACGGAATGACTTTTAACTCTATAATTACCGTTGATAATCTTCCGTCGCCAATCGGCGAAGAATGCGAAATAGTGCCATCCGAATATGGGTGTTCTGCACGTGTAACATGGTTCGATGATGGCACCAGCGAAGTACATTACATTGCCGATCCAAACTTCCCATTGGAGAGCGTCATAACACAAACAGAACGTAAAGTAACGACATGGTCTGGTGAATACATAACAAATAAATATATTAGTTTTAACTGTCAAGCCTCGAATAATACCCCATGTAATACAGCCGAGAATTTAAAACGTGCTCTTATTTCAACAACGTGGTCCACTAATGAACAAATAGAAAAGTTCGATACATTAATTGTGCCGACAACAGATTTTTATGGTAGTACATGTTTACAATTATTGAATAAGAGCAATTGTCCTATAACGAATCTACTTAGCTGTCAACAATGTATGGGTATTATTGAATATTCCAACACTAAAAGTGTGTGTGCAATGTGTCCATCAGGAAAAGCTCTGACGAATTCTTACGAACATGAAACAATATTTTTCCTTCAAAATAAAACTCAAGTGGATAAGATAACATTAGCATGTCGAAGACGTGGCGCTTGCAATTCAATAGAAAATATTGATCGAATTAAAAATGAATTAGATATTAAATTTGATTTCGAAAAATTCTATCGATCAACAGCTTCGATCACAAAATCGCCGATGATGATTTTATTCCTGGTAGTTATAGTTGGAGTTTTTTCATGCTGCTTGTGAACAATAGAATATGATTTATGTTTTTGAACGTCTTTTTAAATGAAGATTTTTTATTTGAAAAAAAATCTGACACATTAAGAAAAATATTTTACGATTGAATTCTATCGAGTGGAAAATCGAGCGATTTGATCGTAATAGCCATTATAATTAAGTCGTATAAGTAAATCAGATAGCGATGTTTTATATCCTTTTTCAACAAGCTTTGATAAAACTAGAGATACAGAAATCATTAGAAACAAAATGCGCTTTTTTTTTAAATTGATAATAAATACCTTTGAACAGTGAAAGTACAGCGATATGATATTTTTCAAATGTGGTACGTAGTGCTTGTACACTTGGATCGGATGGGTCTGTATGAGTTGCATTGAGAATCCAAGAGTATGTTTGCAATTGGCAACGGAAACGTATTATTAATGTTAAAACACGGTTCACTTCATTTAGAATAGGAGCTGCATTCGGCGTGAGCAGACAACTGAAAATTATAGGACAAAATTATGATTTTGATTCTGGATGAAGTTACTATATACTTTAACATAGTTCGATCTAGATATTCATTGTGAGCTGCAGCTATTTCATTAATATGTTTAGCTTGCTGAATTTTACGCATAAATTCCATCCAAGCGATTTGAATAACTTGATTTGTTATATAATTAATCAGAACAGTCATAAAGTGTTGCATTTGATGTCTAAATAGGCGTATTTGAATTAGACAAACGATGAGAATAATTCAACTTTAAAGTCTTGCCTACCTATATTGATGCAATTGGGATAGAGTTGAATTTTGTTGTTTACCTTCAATGATAAGCGAAAGAGAAATTCTTAATTCGGGTATTTTAAAATATTTGAACAATTCTTTCTCTGTTATTTTATTAACTGCGGTTCGATAGGAGCTCATGAAAGTCTCTTCCATAACTTGAATCTCTGTTTGTTATCTTCTGTGTCTGTGCCCATGGACAAATGAATACTTACAAGATTTAAGTAAAACCCATATTTCATTCAGTACTTGTTTGACAATAAGTATTCGAAGAAGAAATCGAAATATGACTTTATATTTTTCTAGCATATCTTGCGAAATAACGATATTTAAAGGCCATTGAATGGCATAAGTTAAATCAAAATAATCGAGTAACGTTGAATCTAGAAGACTTAATGAATTTGGTATGTTTGGCTTTGCTGTTAATTGAAGAATATCAATTAAATTATTTGATTCTCCTGCTTGATCTAATGCTGTATATAAAATTTGACGCATAGAAGCAACATGATAAATAATTCGTGCATCAGCAGTTGTCAATAAAATATTGGATAATTCAGAGCAAAATGAGAGACCAAATCGACCTGTGGCAAGAAAGTAATAGGAACGAAGATTATTTAAATGGTAGGATAATTTTAATTCATCGAAAAAATAATTCAGCAATGCACGATTGACTAATTGAGATCTAAAGAAAATTGTAAAAGAAAAAAAAATGCTTTCATAGAAATTCGCTGAACATACTGAACATAAATTAATGGTGATATTGAATGTTCTAACCAAACACGTAAAGGTGACATATCAAAATTGAACCAAGATTCTGCGACATTTCGTGTTGACGCTTCCGGATCGTTTTCTTTCACTTGGAAGTCTAGAAAAATATATAAACAATGGCTATATGTTACGAAACACAACAATGGTAATGGTTAATTTCATGTAACGAACTTTTTCGTTATTCGTCTCAAGAGCAATTATCGTTAGTTATGCACAGAAGACTTTTCTCTCTGTTAAACAAGCGACTATCTTTTGTATGTATAAATGGAGGTTTTGTTGAGCATAAGCAGGGTTCAGGGCAGAAAAATGAATATTTTATCTCAAGTCTTCTGCATTGTAGATTACAGTTTCTTTTTGTGTCAGTAAAATTTCGCTGTTACTTGACAATAATTAACCTGATAGAATCATTCCTGATGAATACTTACCAAATGCATCGTTGTACTTGAATTGAGGCCCACCGGCAATAATAGAATCCCAATCGTAGATTTTTTCTGGTAGCTCCTCGTGTTCTAAATAATAAAAAAGAAATAGATAATTTTATTATTGCTTATTTCGTTTACCTTCACTTTCATCAAGTGGATTATGATCCATCATATAATTCTGAATGGTCGATTTTAATACATTACTAGTTACATATTTAACAGTTCGACGATATTGATCCTGAGTTGTTTCTTCAGTTGCTGTATGTCGAATTACTGGTTTGCTTGGCATTTGTTGATTTGATATTAAATCAAGTGCCTCTGTATCGTCAGTTGGTTTATTCGTAGATTGTATTTCTTCTCTGGGCGGCACATAATGTGTGTTTGCGTTATTCGGTTTTTCGATATTTGATGGCGATGAAACATCGGTTGATCTATTATCCAAAATAGAAATGGCATTTGGCGATTGATCGACTATTGGCGTATGAAAACTTGGTGTGGATGTAGATGAAGGATTGGATAATGATGTTTGAACTTCTGTCGGTGTGTTTGTAGTACTGTTCGGTTGAATTCGTTGACGAAATTGTTCTTCTCGTTGATTAGCATCACGCATTTTAGCATCGTATTCAGAAATGATTTCATCGCTAAGAAATAATTAATCTAGATTAGAAATGAAACGACACGAGGAGCGTTTTTTTTACCGAATATTTTCCACCAGATCAGCATAAGGTGCACCCAGACGCGAACCAATGATTGTCGTTGTTGAAGTAACTTTATTGAATTCTGCACCTGCAGCTCTGTCTGCAAGCTTTTCTTCTTTGAACTAAAAATTTCAGAAAAAAAAACTTTTTTTTCTTTTGTTAATTATTAATGAATTGCTTACTTGTCGTTGTTTTGCATCGATTTGTTCTTGCCATTTATCGCGTAACAACTGTTTTTCTTTCATTACTCGTTCTGTTTCATCATCAACAAGTTCTATTGGTAAACAAAAAATAAATTTAAGATTCTATAACATTTTATCAAATCGTCAAGTGAGTCTTTTTTCACTATATGCGCACATAATATTGAAGTCCATCATTCACGATTTGAATTTGGGATTTAGAAAATCCTAAATCCGCCTTTTCCCCCGTTGTAAATGATTGATTTCGATTTCGTTTTCTTGTTCCGGAATTAAAATTGAAACTCATTGAAATTATTATTCTTATGATTTATTCATTTTTTTTAAATATAGCTATTCTTTCGACAAAGGTTCCTCAAATCACAAAATATGATGTTACAAAGTCACATTTTCAACTGTCGAATGAGATATATACAAAACCTCCAAATAATAAATATCCGTCAATCGAACAGCAGTATTTTGCGACTTGAATATCTCAGGACGGAAACATTCTACTCATAAACGTATCTATCTGTGGGATCGTACGGCTAAAATGCCTATCACTCTGGATAGAAGGCCGACGAGGTTGAGTTCATTTGAAGTTTTTCATATCTCATTTGTGGTCTATCCTATGAGCAGAGCCCGAGCTCAAGAACAATTCGGCACTTAAAAATGTTCCCTCATTAGATTTTTGTACTGACTTTTTCTTTCAGCTTGTTGTTGATCTTGGCGAGCATACATATCCATTCGTTCTTGAACTTTCGCTTGTTCAATATCAAGACGTTTTTGTTTTCTAAAACATAAACATGAGCAAAAATACAAGCAAACATAAAATCCTTTACTGTGCTTGTTCATATTCTAAAATTTTTGTGCTCATTTCTTCTTGATATTTATATACTTGTTTTCGATCAGTACGATCTCTAGAATTAATATAGACAAAGTTTAATTGTGGTATCATATTTGTTGTTATTGTACACAATGGATGATTTTTATCGCATAATTTAATTAACATTAATGAACGTGTTATATTAACGATTTGTTGTAGATATTCAATAGGTAAAATTTGATGAAATATTGTATCACGATTGTTAGCATGTAAATAACGTATGGTAAATGTTTTTGTCCAAAAATCGATTGTTTTTAAGCCAATTAAACGATTATGATTAAATAAAATCGGATATTCATTGTAACGATCGAGATAATTCGAATGAATAATAAGACCAGTAAGAAATAATAATAAAGGCCGTAACGTATATGTAACAAAATGCGTAAGTAGAAGAAAATAATTCTGATCTATGTTATGATAATTGTGATTGAGAAGTGTATGAAGAATGGAAGAAAGTTTAACAAAAGCTAACGATGTATTTGGTGATGATGTACGAATTGTTTGTTCAAGCTCATTGATACTTGATATGAGTGATAAAGGAAGACTAAAGCGAAACAAAATCAATCAGATAGTTGATTTGGATTTTGACAGTAGAACTGTTTTAATAGAAATCAATTAGCGAAACATATTATGACATAGAGTTTGATTGGCGGCTCAATGCGAATGTTATAGAAATTCTGCCATCCAGTTAGCAGAAATGTCTTCTACGAAATTAATTAACTACCAACAACAGAGCTCAAATTAAATCATCGAAGTTCTTGGTAGAGCATCGCTTGCGTGTTTCCATCAAAGAATACCTTTGACAATCATCTGAAGGTTTTCATTATAAATTTTCGAAGAGATTTATACGAGTATTTTCAACAGTCAAAATTCAAGACAAAGTAAAATAAATATCATGGCGGTATCAGAACTAGAAGTGTGCAGGATCGCGTTTTTTTTTGTTGGCTTCAGTAATTCTATTGGAAGAACTGGTTTTCCACATCCCTGATCCGAGCACAAGCCCTTAGTGTTTTAAAATACTCGATATTGAGAACTAACCATTTACCTCTCACACTGATTACCTGCGTATTCTACGATTTAAAACAGTCACCGTTAGCCACAAGGGAAATAGCTCGAAATTTTTTTTTGTCCTGTTTATATAAAATACTTCGATTGCGTAAAACTTACTTTAGACTACACAATATTGGATCAATTTTTGCAGCAAATTTGACTAGAGAAAACTTTGAAATATCATATATAGCAATAGATTTTTGTATATAACGTAAATAACATCGGAGTGAATGGCAAAATTCATTTTCGGTTTCAGAATTTCTCGACGAACGATTAATGTAATGTTTTATTACATTAAAATGGTTTCCTGCTTGAATATATCTCATTGAAAATCTTCCAATTGTGACTTGCGTATAGCCAAGAACATTTATATCTGATTTAAGTGCAAAGGTTTCATGAATCTAATAACAAAACATATTGAATGTAAAAACAAAACTATTCATATCGATTTACTTCATTCCATTCGAATGTTTGCGATGATATACCCATAAGCATATAGCAGAGATCACGAAGAAATTCATCGATAGCTATGGGACGATAATCGATATCAATAGATTGAGTTAACGATGGCTGATTAAATAGAAGGAGTAAACACATATGTTGAAATGGTCGATCATCTGTACGAAGATCAAATAAATATGGACGGGTTCGATCGTATATGTAACTAGAAATGATTCAATTAAAAACGAGCGGAAGATAAATTTGATAATTTCTACCTGCCACGTTGTTCCCATGTAAAATATTTATTTTCTGCTTGTGTTAAAGCGCGAAACCAATGATCAGACTCATCAATCGGAACTAAAGCTAACTCGGATTTATCGTCTGGGATTGAAGATGAAGCCGATTGAAAACCATCGTCATCACTAATTACTTCCTTCAATGAAGAAATTCATGCGATAAATTTTTCGCAACTTTTCAATCTGTCTTACCTCTTCTTGGAATGTTGAAGTCCAACAGCTATTATCAGGTTTATTTTGAGCTAATTCAAATAGAGTATTTTGTGATGGAATGACATTAAATAATGTTCGTTTTTCATTTCGTATTGGCTAATAAAAAAATCGAATATAAAATAAACAGTTAACACTGAATATTTTAAACATACAAAATCAATCACGTCGTAGGCATCAGATAAACATGTTCGATTGGGTCTTTGTATTACTTGTTGACTTAATGTGTGTATTTGTTCAACTTGTTGCAATTGAAATGGATCCTCCTAATTGAAAGAGAATTTTTGTTCAAAGCACTTTATGTTTTGAAACTTAATCTTCGAAGTATTTTCTCTATTCCAGTACTCATATATCTCAGGAAAATGTGATTATTATTGCTGGTAATCTCGTATTTTTTTTGTAAGCGGATCTATGTTAGTTCCATAGCAACTTTTACAGAAACAAAACTACATACAATTTCTTTGTCATCGTCTTTTGTGAGATTTTCGTTGAGATCAAAAATATGATTTAATGAACTGAAATTATTATTTGATAAAATTGTTCTACCGACAAGCCAGTCTTTTTCAAAATCAAATAATCGTGAGGCATTATTCTAAATAAAGAATATAAGCAACTAAGGTAATTTTCTTCTAGTCAATTTACTGTATCGTCCGAATAAACAATAATCGACATAATTGAGGTTAAATGATCATAAACATGAGCACCTAAATTTTATCTACATAAATATCAACACCTATACTGTTTCTGTTTTCAGACTGGCCGCTTTTTTTAACCAATCAGTGAAATAACTGCACCGATCGCTGTTGTCATCTGTTCTTATCACCCCCAATTGGTTACTATATACATATAAATATATCTATTTCCTCCTGTAGTAGCAGAGTTGCGCGATTGTTATTATTATTAGTATTATTATCGTTTTGTAACATTGATCAAAATCGACGCAATGGCGACAACAAAAACTTCCGAAGAAAGTGTTAATATAGATGATTTTGATGCACTTTTAGCAGCGCTTAGCGCTGAAGAGCTTGAGAATGTTAATGATTTTATTGATCCAGAGGTATCTATATACATATATTTTTTTTTAATTTTTTTTTCTATTAATCATCATCTTTTAAGCATTCTTACCTACCAGCAAGCGATCGTGGTAACTATCGAATGCACAAAACTCCAACCGGTCCGTATGATCGCAATAAACTGCTGGGTTTCTTAACTGAACAAGGACAAAGTGAGAAAGATTGGGAGGAACAAAAACCTTTTTTACCCGGTGAAAAGAAAGGAAAAGTTTGGCAAGCTCCCGAAGTTGCAAAGCCAGCTCATGATGAAGAGGATGAATTAACTCATACGGAATGGGATGATCTATTAACGAATGCAACTGAAACAGAAATTGTTGAACTAGCTGGTTTGCTGAATTGTTTTTTTCTTCTTTTTCGAAACTATGACTAAACTTTATTTTCAGCTATTCTTGGGTTTACTGGTTTAATTAATCAAGTGCAATATCATGCAGCCGTAACGGATAAACCTACATCTACAAATGCCGGTGGTTGGAACGGTATGAAAATAAGAAAGAAAAGTCTCGTTTAAAAGCAACTAATTTTTAATTTAATTTTTAAGCTGCTGCTAAAATGGAACCATTAAAATTAATTCCGCCAGAACCAGATAATATGACAAACGTGGAAGAATGTATAGCAAAAGCAAAAGCGAATGACAAGGAATTAACTAAAATTAATATAAATAATATTCAAGGAATAAAGCCTGATGTACTTAACGACTTACTTAACGCAATAAAAGACAACACACATGTAGAAGTTCTTGCAATGGCTAATGTTGGTATGACTGATGGTGTTGGTCGAGTAAGAATTTAGTTTGATTTAGAAATTTTACGTAAACATTAATAATTAGTCTCTTGCTGAACTTATCGAAGCAAATTCAACATTGAAAACAGTCAATGCTCAGTCGAACCGTTTGACAGGTGCAGTTGTTGCTGAAATCGTACGGAGCACATTGAAAAATCAAACATTGGTTGAATTACGATTATCAAATCAAGTAAAATTACAGTTCTCGATTTTGCAAAAGTTTTCATTAGAAATTATCTCAAAGTTAAAAGAAAACAAATGAGGCAACATCGGATTCGCATCCGATTGTTATGTCTACTGCAGAAACTAAGTCGATTTATATATGTTGTGAATAATTCTAAGAAAAAAATTCCTGTACCCCTCTCAGGGATGGCCTGGTCAACGCTGACAATTTTTCGATAACTCAGCCATTTCTTGGCGGATCCTTCTCATCTTCGAACTCGACTGAGATCATTATGTGTACAAAATTTCATGGTGATTGGATGAGGCTTTCAAAGGTTATCGTGTTAACGGCCGGACAGACACACTGACTGAATCTAGAGTGTACTCACTTTTTTTGAGTACGCAAAAAGAACTACTCTAATAGATTATAGTCAATTCGTTAATATCAAACAGATGTCGCAGCTTATTTTACTAAATGATGCGGTAGTATAAACAAAAGAAAAGCAATGCACTTCTGGACATTGCTACTAATGAGATGTAGGTCTCAATGTTGTTGTCTTTTTCTACTCATAGAATCAACGGAAACTAGTTCATAAAAATAGGTCTCCATGAAGTGATTACTACATTTTAAGAGGATTGAAAGTTGAGACGATTGTTTATCATACATTAGTTATAGTATCATAATAAAGAACATCTGTCGGGAAGTAAACACTGACGAACAGAAACCTTCTTCATTTATGTGTGGTATTCTACAAGGGTAATATAATAATAGTGTACGTTTATTTACTTTAGTAAAACATAGAACAGACCTATTCAATTTGCTCGGTAAACATGTAGGCGTAAGTGTTATTTTTAAAAGAAAAATAATATTTTGAATATTGAGAGAACGATTAATTTCTAATCCGTATGTTCTCAAAAAAAAAGACACATTGACATGATGGACAATAAAAGCATATTGCAATCATGCATAAACCCATCCTTCAGTTATGTTTGTCTGGTTCTTCATAATAGTAATGTAAACAAAGAGACATGCCAAAGCATTTGTCATTCATCATGTCGTAATCTATGGAATACAGTTAAATATATATGTATATATAAAGCGATGCGAAAACACTTCTGATTTTCAGTTTCTGTAGAAAATATTTGACATAATATCTTAACCTATCTTTGCATTATTTCAGCCAACAAATGCCTCATTAATTCATTGAGAAACAATATAACTGTAAATATATTTTTTCGTCCTACACTCATACGCACACTCACCTTTTTTTTTAAAATGTAGTTCGCACACCTTCAACGACTAGTTTCACCTTAGGGTTGCTTTTTTTTATTTGTTTATTCTTGAATTTGTTTTTAAGCGCTCACAAATCCTTGGCAATCGTGTTGAAATGGAAGTGGCTGATGCTATTGTTCAAAATAATACGCTTCTTCGTTTAAATTTACAGTTCGATACTCTGGGACCACGAGTTCGTGTTACGGAAAAACTCAAACAAAATCTTGACGCTTGTAAAACAAATTTCAATGTGTAGAAATAAAATTATCTATTTTTTGTTTCATTTCTAGTACGTAAAAAACGTTTGGCGAGTAAACAAGAAGAAACGAAATAATTTATTTTTTTTTATTTAAACTCATATATACACTATTCATCTATTGACTTCCGCGAATTGGCAGTTTGACCCTTGCTCAACTAGAAATTACAATGGTGCTGATTTTCAAAATGCAAAATCGAACAAACGAAGAAAATAATAAAATTTCTAGTCAACATCATCAACGAAAATTTCATACGCTTATTTCCTGCTTACCTCGCTTCAGGATTATTAATAAAATTTTGTTTGTTTTTGTATATATTTTACATTTTATTTACTTAATCTATTTTTTATGATATATTTATTTATTCAATTAAAGATAATCACCTAGTCCCATGTTTCGTTTTAGATGTTTCCATCTCATAGTCATCACTTGAAAGGCGATGTTTGTTTAACTCGTCCACCATATCGTGATGGCAAAAAATTACGCGCTGTCAAAGTTTACACCATAGCTCAAGAATCGAAATATCTTCTTGTACAAAATATTCCATCGGTCCGCGGAGTTATCGAACAACTACTACCCTATTTTAGTCAATATGGAAAACTTGAACAATATTGGAGATTAGATGGATACGAACGAATAGATTCAAGTACTGATGATGCATTTTTTGATACAGTGTTAATTAAATTTCTACAGATACAACAAGCACGTTATGCTAAATTTCGTTTGGATGACATTAATTTTATGGGATCAAATTTGCATATATGTTATGCACCGGAATGTGAAAATGTTGATGATTTAAGAGAGAAATTTAATGAACGAAGAACGATTGTACAACGTAAAGGTCTAATGAATAAATATGCAAAAGGAAGAAAACGATCCATCAGTATTCTTGGACAAAAACTACCCAAGAAACAATCGACATTTATGTATCAACAATCTACTCTTATTCCAAAGGAGCATTCCGATGCTGTAAATACAACTGAATCTTCATCGGCGAAATCATTTGAACGAACAACGAATGAAATTCGTAGTAAAATACGTGAAATTGTGACGAAATCTAATTTAATTCCTCTTGCGTTACAGCGAGAGATTAAAAAGAAAAAAAGATTGCAAATATAATAATGAGATTTTTTTTCATTTTTGTTATGTATTATTTCTGTTGACTGAAATACTCATTTTTCCTCGTTAAAAAAAGTGATATTCGATATGTGAAAATATTTTTAGCTGCTCGTTAAACTATAGGACTAATAGTGTAAAACAACAACTTTATTTTCTAGATGAAGATCGTCATTGTAATTCTACTGATGCTAATCTCTCCCATTGAACAACGTCGTTACGAGGATGACCTACGTGCACTAGATGATCTTCTAAGTAACGGGCACAAGCATAATTATCGCCCAAAGCGACCACATACCATCAATCACATTGATGAAGTCGATCAAGATGTTCCTTCACATGACTATGAAAAACCATCTCCATCGCGATGGAAAGTTCTTGATGAAAACGATGATGCTGGCGAAGAATCATCTCCTTCGCATAAGAAAGTTCTTGATGAAAACGATGATGCTGGCGAAGAATCATCTCCATCGCATAAGAAAGTTCTTGATGAAAACGATGATGCTGGCGAAGAATCATCTCCATCGCGTAAGAAAGTTTTTGATGAAAACGATGGTGCTGGCGAAGAGTCTAACAATAATGACGACGACAATCGATTAATTCCAGCCAAAACTAATGTAGATGATTCATCTGATAAATCTTCGTGTGTTAGCACATACGATGTTAGACTCGAACAATTAGTTGTAGTAAAAAATGGTGCACATATGATAAGACATTTTCTTGTCGATAAAAGAACATTAAAGCCTAATCTTAATGTCCAAGACAGTTGTAAGACTCGTTGCTGTGAAGAAAAAACATGCGATTTAGCAATGCTGAGCGAAAAACCTACGAACGTGAGTTACTTCTCGGTAGTTTTTAATTATTATTCGGCAATGTTCATTTCCTTCAGGACGGCTTTAAATGTTATCTATTCGCTTGTAATGGTAGTTGTCCATTCACGTCACATCAAGATTATAAAATTATGATACCGAAAAAAAATTCCGCATACTATACAAAATCAATCATGACAAGTAGTACTATTGAAGAATCAACAGCAACTACGCGTAAGCATTGCACCATCACAATAGAAAACCCTTCAACTATTATTAATAATGAGCTTAGCGTTTTATCCCTCTATCTTGCTTGTCTAGAAAACATATCTTTATCCTCCATTGTATGATGCACAGCTTTATAATGATTTGATGTTGAATGAAACGTGAATCGATACAGCTGTTTTAGACTTGCCGAGAGTGAAAATTTATTTTGAATTTGAGAGTTTATCAGCGAGAGAAGAGAAACTTGAATTTTATTATGTACGAATGAATAAATACGACTTATTTTTTATTCTAGCGTTTACTGTAGTCGCAACTAAAAAAACATATTTTCGTGAAATAAGTGTTATCTTGTTGCTTGTTTTTGGTATTCTGCTAACAATCAGTTCATTTGTTTTACTCTGTTATTATTGTCGGAAATCACGAAAAATGGGTCGGAAATTAAAAAATTATTCTGTTGACGCTGATTATTTGATCAATGGCCTTTATCTCTAGTAAAAACTAACAGTGATCTTTTAAAAAATACTCAAATACTCATACTTTCCGTACACATCACTTATAATATTTCTTTTGTGTTTTATGTGCATTTTCTATGAACATGGACACTGGCACATGACTTTGAATCAAAATTTTTGTTTTTGCCTCGTGCTTGTTCTCTACTCTTGAATCTCTAATCTTCTTTTAATAATACTGGCAAAACTAATTTTTACTAACTAATAATCTTAATTTTTTTTTTGATTATATTTATTTTTCTTTCGTTGTGTTCTAAGTACCATTGTAAAGAAAAAGCATGACTTTAGGTACTAAATATAAACAAAAAATGAAATCACGTGGCGCTTCTTGCTATTCGATTGATTCTCGAACAGGGTAGGGATGCGAAGAAATGTGTTGGGACTTATTCTTTGGAAGATTGATGTCAAATTGTTCGATGGTACGAAAAAGAATTAGGAGCGAAAGCATGTTGTTAATTTTTAGAGCTCTCTTGGCGATTTTGAACTGATCGATATCGGGAAACTAATGAAGTGATAAGCATATATTAAAGCAGAACCATGGTCTTTTTGCATATTTTACATCTGATTAAGACAACGTTTTTGTCGAAGGTTAGCGCGTGAAATTCGGTTCAAGGTAAATAGTTTTTTTTAACGAATAGAATAACCTTCATGCATTCGTAACAAACCGGATAACCGAAGAGAGAGCGGATGATAGCGTTAGGACACTCGTCGACTCTGTATTGGTATAAATTCAAATATATGGGATTAGCAACTCTATTCCATCAGCGGTACTCTAATGAAAGAAGAATTCAGATTGACTCTTAGATATAAATGAGTGAAAATGGGCTGCACACTTTTGCGAAACACGCTCTGAGAAAAGCTTGAAAAACATAGTGCATAGATTTACGCAAATCTTCTTGTCAGACGTTTTGAAATACGATTAGCTACTTCCGATCAACTGCTTTATTATAACAGTTCTATCAGTGTACGCAAGAAGTGATGAATAAACAAGTTCGAAAATGTATTGAAAAGAAAAAAAACAATATTCGATTTTTATGCAGACGAGTGACACTCTGCTATGCGATGTTCAAGCTGAGTGCAGACAACCAGGAGATTCAAATGCATATCGAAGTTTGGCAGATGTTTCAATGTTAAATAAAGAATGAAGTTGAAAAATTATAAGAATTCTAACTTCTTCGCTTCTATATTTACGCTATATGTTATAGATGAGCCGACGACGTTTTAATCGTCTATTGATACCGATTCTTTTTCTTGTAATGGTTTTTATATTATATACAGTACTTGATTCAATTAGCACAAATATAGATGAACAACAAGTAATTTAAAATAGCCATGTTTTAAATTTTCATTGATTTTTATTTCCTATAGAAATTAGGCGATCTATGGTTTAATGAACATCTCGAATCTCTTGAAGATTCTATTCGAGCTCTTGATAAAGAACTAAAGCATGCGAGTCTAAAACAACAAACGAAGCAAAATTCTGAAAATCATGAAGATAAAATAGTTCTAGAAAAGATTAAAAACGACATTGGGACGACTTTCTACAAACCTAAGAATAATCACAATCAATGTACTTGGCAAATTTCTCCTCCAACGAATACTACATTCAATGTAGGACAATTCTATTATTTTATTCCTATAAAAATTCTCATCTATTTAATAGAGCCAACAATTATACGATAGTCTTCCATTTGACAATCCCGACGGTGGTACCTGGGCACAAGGCTACGATATTCAATATAATGCATCGCAATGGACATCAAATAAGAAATTAAAAATAATTATTATGCCTCATTCACATGCCGATCCAGGTTAACTAGACATGTTATTTTTATTTATATCGAACATTTCCTTTTCTATCCATTCTATCAGGCTGGCGTAACACATATGAAGAATATTTTGTTCATGTCGTATATCATATTCTTAATACAATGATCGACATTCTAAATATGAATAAAAAATACAGGTTTGTTTGGGCTGAAATGTCTTTTCTAAGCTTATGGTGGGATCAAGCAACACCTAAGCAACGTAATTTATTGAAAAAATTTCTAAAAAATCAACAACTTGAAATCGTTACGGGTGCTTGGGTAAGTAAATAAATAGTTTTAATATAAGATGTTGCCTCAACAGATTCGTCATGCTTCTGAAAGTTTATCTTACAACGTTTTCAGCAGTCCAATCGCTTTTGAGTTCGAATTTTATGCAGCAGATAGACCCCAATGTAGTATGAAAAAAACCCAAAAGATTAGGTGCCCATAGGTCTTCTGTCCAAAGTTATAGGCATTTTACTGGAGTTTTAGCCTATTACACAGTATATACCAAAAAAATNTAGAATTTTCTGTTCTTTTGGGACCTAAATATCTCAGGAAGGAAACGGCCTTTTCGATTGAAATTTTCAGGACATTCTACTCATAAATAGACCTGCCTCTGGGGAAAATCTCAGGTCGAAATACAATCATTCGATTTTTTGGTATATACTGTGTAATAGGCTAAAACTCCAGTAAAATGCCTATAACTTTGGACAGAAGACCTATGGGCACCTAATCTTTTGGGTTTTTTTCATACTACATTGGGGTCTATCTGCTGCACAAAGTTCGAACTCAAAAGCGATTGGACAGCTAAAAACGTTCCCGCGTTAGTCCGATCAGGATATTTAGTATGTGATTCTTCATTATTGACTTTTTAAGGTAATGAATGATGAAGCAAATACGCATTATTTCGCTATGCTCGACCAACTGATTGAAGGACATCAATTCATTGAAAATAGATTAGGTCTTTATAATTATTCACTTTCCTTAGTTTTTCGAATTTATTTTATTTTATTATTTAGGAAATATTACAGTACGAAGTGGCTGGGCTAATGATCCATTTGGTTATTCGCCAACAATGGCGTATCTATTGCAACGTTCGGGGATACAATATATGGCAATTCACAGGTAAAATTTGAAGAATAATTCAATGAAATTGTTAATATCTTTTTAGAGTGCATTATCATATAAAAAAAGCATTAGCAAAAGAAAAAAATTTGGAATTCCTATGGCAACAAACATGGGGTAAGAAAAAAAAAGATTACGGATTTTAGAAATAAATTGATGTCAACCTCCTAGATCGAACGTTGTCGACACGAATCTTCACTCACCTTCTTCCATTCAATGCTTATGATATTCCACATACATGTGGTCCGGACCCGAAAATTTGTTGTCAATTTGATTTTCTACGAGGTAGACAATCATATAAAAATTGTCCATGGGGTATAAACCCTGTAATTATCGATGAGAAAAATATTCAAGAACGGTAAATGAAGTTTTTATTTCGATTCCTAATTAACTTTTTTTCATCTTTAGGGCAGAATTACTACTAGATCAATATCGGAAGAAAGCTCAATTATATCGAACAAGTGCTTTATTTATTCCATTAGGTGATGATTTTCGATTCAGAACAATAGAAGAAGCTAAACTTCAATTTGACAATTATGATAAATTATTTACATACATTAACCAACAAATTCATTGGAACACACACGTAAGCTTGCTTAACAGATAATCGAGATTTCTATGATTGATTAAATTAGATTCAATATGGCACATTAAGTGATTATTTTGCACAAGTTCTACAAGAAAAATCTCTTACGGAATTTCCGAGTTATGCTGGAGATTTTTTTACGTATGCTGATCGTGCTGATCATTATTGGAGTGGCTATTTTACATCAAGAGCATTTTTTAAAAGAATGAATCGTATTGCCGAATCTCATCTTAGGTGAAGACATAAATTTAATAAGAGTTGCTTTCGGTGTCCTCAGCGGATTCAAGATTTTTGTTTATGCTAGATCTCAGTTTCATGAGACGAGGATGAAGCTTATATCGACGCTGGCGGGAAATTAAAATTTTTTTCGCAAGCACTGATGTAATTTTCTTACTCGAGGATTTCGTCGTGAAGTTTCAATATAATTTTTATACTACAGTAAAACCTCTGTGTATGGGCAGATATATGAATTAATACATACACGGTTCTTTTTCTTCTCATCGGTCTTTGTTCTGCCAATAATAGGAGAGAGAAAAGTTAGTCCGACGTGAAAGAAAAAATAGCTCAACTATACATTTCTAATTGTGACATGGATAGTTGCAAAAAAGTGTAAACAGTTGTGCTATTTGGCATTTCTCTCCGAAATAATAAAGGAATGGCGCCCTGTCACACTTCTGATCACGGTGTAAACGTATTGATCAGTCAATTCGTGAAGCTTGGTGAAGAAATTCCAGGGACTAATGAATGGGGCTACAATGCAGAGAATCTATTGACCATCGAAGATGTTCAACACGATGAAGACGATAAAGGTGATGCAGTTATTCAAGAGTAGCCTCCATCGTTTATTGATGCCCTTCACATGATCTCAACAATTTCATCTACTCGTCACTCAGAACCTCACCCAGTTCAATTATGGATTTTTTCCCCGAAAGTTTTGATTGTAAATACGCCAATAGAAAATAGAAAATAGAAAATAAGCTTATAATGAAGAAAAAGCATCAGATGATTCGAGTAAAATATTGAAGATAGTCAAATGTTTAAAGACTAATTAGTAATATATAAATACCCAGTTCGTGGCAGTACGGCGGGAAACGACCGGAAATTGCTGGAAGGTGAAAGCAGTATTCCGGTCGTAAATTCCTGTTTTTTTTTCCGGTGGATTTCGGTCAACTTCCAGTGCTTTCTAGCAGGAACCCATAGTAAATCATCGGGGAAAACTCCGAAAATCTTCCGACCGAAATACTGCTTCCACATTCCGGCGGCTTCCCATGTTTTCCTCCGGAACACGGCGTTTTTTCCGCATATTTCCGGTCGGTTCCTACAGCATCCGGTGACCGGAATGATCGGCCTGGGTATGGGTACACTTTACGACTTAGCTTGCAGACAACGTATGTTTGATCTAAATCTGTAAAAACTCTGAAACGCGGGCACCTCCTTAAGATCGATGATTTTGAAACGTTCCGTGGGTGCCCATCCAAGGGAGGTTTTACTGAATATGTGACAACAGAAGCAGAAGAGAATGTGTCCAAAACAGAAATTTATGTGTAATCCTATTGTAACTTAATTTTATTCATCATGCAATTGATGATCAATTCGGGGGCGTTTTCATCTATACATAAGCATGTAAAATAAAGATATGTCAGTTGTAATATTTTGTTACACTGAAGTATGAATCATTATTGATAGTCTGTCGAACTCAATTAATAATTTCATTTGCAAGGTCAAAAATCGAGCGATCACGTTA